TTATAAAAAAGCTTAAAAATTCAAAAATATGAAAGCTTTTATAACAAAAATGTTATTGAAACATTGTTGTACTTAAATTGCCGTACGAAAACTTAATAATTTCCTTAATCAAAAATTTTTTTTTAAATTTTCCTGGTCAAAAACCAGTAGCCTGGTCTGAAATTGTATGCATGTTTCGATAAAAGCTTTTGCTTTCGTTGAATTAGAGCTTCTGAAAACGGTTAATCTTATAAGAGCTTTGAAAGTTTTCAAAATAAAAACAATATGGAACATTAAATACTTACAAAATACTTTTAAAATTGAATACAAAGTGTAAAAGGATACAAAGCGGTCCAAAGTGTGTTTAAGAGTATTTTTTCATAAGAGAAAAGTTTCCAATTTTAACAGCTGTTTCAATATTATTTTTTGATTAAATTAAAGAAATAAGTAAAACGTGACAGTATAATTTTTGGATAAGAATCCGATTCCCATTCCTCTGTTAAGGTATCCGTTGGAAAAATGAAGGAGTAGGCTGCTAGGACACAAATTTAGATGTATGTAAAGAGTATCGAATAGGCAATTTTTAATAATAGTCATTCTGAATAATTTTAAGAAAGGCGACATGCAAATATTTAAAGAGCTTGTTCTAAACATCACAATATTTCTCAAAAGGTGCTTTAAAAATATGTAACTAAATATTTGCTACGTGAACAATTTTGTTCTAAATAATTGCGGGTTTCACAGAAGCTTTAATGATAATACCTTTGCATACAGTAAATAATTGGTAAAAATAACAATTCTTTAAAAAAAACTTGTTTTAGAATTAAAAATTTCAAGTTCTCTTTGAATGCATATGTATAACATGCCTACCAATATTGATTTGGAATTTTAATCTTTTGAATTATTTTTAAATTATTTTAAATATTTTATATAGCATAAAAATTACGCAAATTGCATCATCACTTTATTTTATAATTAATGTGCATATATCTACATATATATGTATGTACATACATTTTAACATATATATTACGTATTGTAAAGGCATTAAAATATTAAAAAATTCATGAGTATGCTTTATTAATTGCATACGCTAGACATGACTATCTGAAAAATGTCAATCAATGAAAGAGTAAAATAATTGGACAATCATCGGGCAAAAGTTGTATTTATTAAAATGAAATTTAAACTGTGTGCACTTTATTATTAATTTTTTTATTATTGAAATTATAAATTTTTCGAATTATGATTATTTTAGTTAGATTACATATTTTTGTTCTAGTTAGATTTGATTAATAATTCTAAAATTCAAATTCAATTTAAAAGTCGAAATTCTTTTGTATTTGTTACAATATGTAAATAATTGACGATATTTCAGCACCAAATGGTTCTAAGATCTTGATCTCTCTAAATTGTTCAAAAAATTTGCTCACTTCTGCTCATATTTATGTATAGGATTGCCCCTTTACAGTGTTATGATAGTTATTTTTTTTTTCTTTTCGTGTCGTTTTTTTTCTGTTCTTACTCGATCATATTAAAACATTTTTAATTCATTTTATTGATAATATTTTATTCTGAATCAAACGAGATTACTATTAGATTGAAGTAGTTTCATACAAATCAGTGAATTAATATGCAATCAATCGTAAAATAATTAGCAAGCATTTTTTTGCAAATACTCGTCGTTTTTTTTTCTAAAATTAATTTGTAAATTTTTTTTTTTGCAAAATCATTTTTTTTGTCTTAAACTAAATTTTTCCTGAAAAGTTAAATTGAGTTCATTATATTTTATTTAATATTTTAAGAAATTTATAAGAATTTTTTTGTTTCTGTAAAATTATTGTTTAATTTAATAAATTATTAAAGAAAGATGAAAATAGTGGCAGTGATTTTCTACATTTTAATAATTATTTGTTCATCAACAACACAAAGTTGTCATAGTGCTGGTGACGTTGTAAGTATTACTACATACTTTCTATTTAATTTGTTTAAAGTGTAAATACAAATTAATAACAAATAAATTTAGTTTAAATATAAAATCTTCATTATGGGCAAAACTATTCCTTATTTTGTTAAATTTTTCAAAAATGAAAATATTTAACTATTTATAAATTTAGTTATCAACATAATAAATAATATGTTTTATATTTATAATGCGCAATAGTAATATGTGTATACAAAACAAAAAATATATAACACGTGAATTATGTGGAACATAAATTGATCACATACAATACAGTAGACGGTAAAATTATAAAAACAAACTAGCTAGATTCATTTACAATAATTTCTGATGATTGAAATAATCACAACAATTATTGCCATTATACAAGTGAATTAATAAATTTATAAATTATAACCTTATTGTGACCCTTTATAAAGAAATATACGCACATCAATTTTTTTTATACATTTATAAAGAAAAAATTTATGTCACATCCTAGTGCTCACTTTTCACATTTGACAGAAAGGCAAAATATTTTTGGCAATAAAATATTTTGCGTTTCAAGCGCTTTGTTTTGTTATTAAATGTACATACAAATTTATTATTTTCTCAGCAATTTTAATCCAACATCGAAATATAATATATCTAGCTTTGAAATCTATGCACCACCACTCCTTTTATAGTGAATATCTATGTATTTATGTGAGATACCCACAATATTACAGGACTTCTTCTTGATTCTGATTAATACATGGATTATATTATGTTTAAAAAATTTGCCTGTTATTATGAAAAAAATTTGGCAACGTTAAATTTCTAATATAGTTACTATATGTTTGAAGAAAAAATTGTAATGTGTGAGGAGTTTCGGATGGAACTATAAGGACACCTATTTTACAGTATTGTATTTTAAATTGAAATATAAAAAATGTTCATTAAACATTGAATTATTAGACATAAATTAAGTCATATAATGTGTTCACACTAAATTCATTTTTTATAATTTGCCAATAATCTTAAAATAAATTGCTCATTTTTTTAAATTAAATATTTTTTAGATCTACATATATATTTATTAATTAATTTCAATTTTAAAAAATAAATTTAACAAATAAAAATTGTGATATAAAACACAATATATTTGGAAAAGTTTGAAAATAATTTAGACAAATCAGGCAACTCAACTAGTAACAGGAAATAAAAATTGTCAAATCAATAAAATGTCAAACTCCACTCATAAAAAAGCTACAAAAATTGAGATTTTCGTTTAAAAACATTCGTTATATTTGCAAAATCACTCAAATATTGAGTAATTTTTTTTTCTTCGGCCTTATTTTATGAAACATTTTTGAGTTCGAAATTTATTGAAAAATTTTTCAAAAGTACCATTTTATAACAAAATTTTTTCACTATTAAAATTTTTTTAATTTCCAATTTAATTAAATTATTATTGTTTTCTCTTTTTTTTTTAGTGTAATTCTGGTACATGTTGTACAGGGCTTTTATGTATAAGGCTTAGTAAAAATTCGCATCATAAATGTTTGGACCGAAGGATACTTCCAATCAAATATTGAAATTTTAAAATTTTATAGTCCATCAAAAATAATTTTTCATTATTTCATTAATTTTATTTTTTAAATTAAATTGTATAATTAAACAAGCATAGTATTTAATCAAAATAGTATTTATTTTAAAATTTTTTTTTTAAATAGTTTGTTAAACAAAAGTATGTTTGCGCTAGCATGTTAGTAGTTATGACAGCGCTAATGTCATTTATTTATGTAGTTACTCGCATATTGTCAAAGTGTTTTATAAATGTAAATAGTTAAATAATTAAAATAATTATAAATAAATCTTTAATTTTTGTCTTTTCTTTATTAAAATATTGTTTTATATTTTTGGGATTGGATTTGTTGACCTTGCCAGGATATGCAAATTAAAATTATTTAAATTATAATTAAACTTAATAATATAAATTTTTTGCAATCTAATCGAATTTAATCTAATTTTTTCGTTGCACAAATTTGATTTCAATCTCTTTGTTCTCTATTGTGCTCCCGAAATAAAGTTATAATTTGTATATTCTACTTTCAACCGTACTTGTATTTCAATATAATATATAGTTATACCCCTGCGAACTTAAGTTATTTTAATTTCGGGTATTATAAGTTTGTCATACCGTTTGTAGTGCTCAGAATTAATTGTCTGAGATATTTGTATAAATATATAAGGTTTTTATCAGAATCGAATTCCGAGTTGATTAAGCCATGAATGTCCGTCCGTCTACCAGACCATCTCAGGTATACCTTAAAAACTAACTGAGTTAAAATCACCAAATTTCCAAAATAGTTCATTATATTAAAGGCCAGAAACCTATTCAAATTTAATGTGACCTAGAACAGGTAGTTCTCCAGGTACCTGTCATCATCACCGGATTGCCCACATATGCAAGATAAGTTTCGGAACTATCTCATATGCAAAGGGCGCCGAAAAATATAGAAGGATGGAGGGCAAATTTTAGGAACCGCTAAGGATGCCGAGCAAGGCAGGATTGGACCTGCCTGCCAAACACTTCAAAAAAAATGCTCAGAAAACTATTTAAGCTGTTGTATTGAAATTTCGCCCTGACTTATATACTATATTTATAAATGTCCTTAAAATTACGCGATGAAATTGTAATTTCGAACAAACGGTTATATCATTAGGGCCATACATCTTCAAAGATTATGTAATAATATTCAACAAATATTTAAACTACAGATCTAAATTCAGCACAAATATAAAAATAACATACTAATAAAAGACAATAAAAAATCAACGAAACCAAAAAATCAAATGAAACGATCAACTTTACCTATTGTCTTTTTAACGTATATGGGTTTATGTTAATAGACTCTTATATAAATTATGCTCGAATAAAAAATAATTTTTATAAGAAAAAAGGAAAAGCGCCCAAAAAAAAAATAATTTTTCGAAGAGATAAGCTTATATGATTACCCTAAGCTCCAATATAATTTTCGAAGATTAATCTATTTTACTAGAGCTGTTTGTATTAATCTAGTTATTAGTTACGAAAATGTTTTCATTAATTAAACATCTTCTGGTTTGCTTGGAAATTCTAATAATTTGTCAAATAATTTCAATAAGTAATGGACAAGAAATTATCAAAATTACCAAAAATGAGAATGCTATTGACAATAATATTACTTTAAGTGATAATAATGAAAACGTTAATTATGACGTTAACATTAAGCACAACATTACGAATCAGAATCAAACAACAGCTGCTGATAAGAATTTTATCGACCAAATAACATTTCGTCTGCCGAACAATACAATACCACTGTTATATGATTTGTATTTTAATTTCAGTAGCAATTATACAAATAATGAGGAAACGAATTTTACAGGGCATACAAATATAAAAGTTCTGGTAATAGAATCAACCCGTTACATTGTGTTGAGTGCAAAAGGATTAATGAATTTTAAGGTGCATGTAACACATTTGAGTGATAATGTCTCAAATAACCATACTAAAATCGAAAATATTCAATATAAAGTCGATAATGAAAAAAATTTTTTAATAATATTTACGAAAAATTTCGATTATCTATTCAAAAAAAGTAACCATTATATAATTCACATTAAATACATAGGTTTGCTGCAGAATAATAAAAAGACAGGACTTTATTTCGTTGCTACTGACGAGTCAGTTATGTAATAAAAATAATTTTTATATTGTTAAAATTTTAATTTTTTAATAATGAATTATTTTTCTGTAATTTTAGATCAACTATTGATACAGATATTTTAACAACTGGTAAAGGTAGGATAGTCACAAATTTACAATTTGAACCAAGTTATGGCAAACCAGTAGTACTAACATACTTTGAACCAACTTATGCCAAAACAGCATTTCCATGTTTCGATGAACCTTTTTTTAAAGCGAAATTTGTTGTTCAGCTAACTTATTCTAGTGATTATCGTGCCATTTCCAACACTCCAATTGAATTCGATTATGTAATAGAAAAGTAAGTCGATATTGTTATAACCAGTTTAACAAAGTTTTAAGAAATTCATTGCAATTAACGATATGAATAATTTTTGAATTTGCATTCAATTTTGTGATTAGTTCAGACCAAGACACTTCTCCAACAAGAACAACAAAATTTATGGAATCACCATTAATGTCATCTTATCAACTAGCTTTTGTTTTACACCCTAATCATTCACATGTTTCAATAGAACGAAATAATATAACATATTCGCTATATTACACTGATTATGAGGCAAAGACGAAAAATGTCGAAATATTAAGGCATACAGTAAAGGAGGTAGCTCGTATTATGTCGAGTTTAGAAGAACTCTTTGAAATACCTTTCCCTTTACCAAAAATGGATATGATAGGCGTTCCAAAAACAACAGGCTTGGCTATCGAAAATTGGGGTCTTCTAATATTTAATCAAGAAAAAGCTTTTTTGGATATAACCTGTAAAACTATTGAAGACCATTATAGAACAGTTATATTTACCCATGAGCTGGTTCATCAATGGTTTGGAAATTTAGTAACAACACAATGGTGGTCAACAACATGGTTAAATGAAGGTTTTGCGTCACATTATGGAATTTTTTTAGCAATGAAGGTAGAAACACATTGAATTTAAAATATTTTGATATTGAAAAATGTGTTAAATTTTTTGTTAATAGCTTTTTCCAGAATGCGGGATATCCCAGGACTATGCGCATTTAGACATGAGGTTATTGAAATTCCATGTAACTAATAAACATCCTATCTCAAACTATGTCGAAACTGATGATGAAATTTTAGCAAATTTTAGTCCTACATCTTATAACCAAGGTAAAAGTTTGAATGGTTAAGTAAATTTGGTTTTACAGTTTTTTATTTTAGCTGGACAAATCATTGCAATGTGGGAGAATTGCTTAACAAAGGAAGTTTTCATAAGCGGATTAAAAAATTTTTTGCGAAACATGTAAGTAGGTGGTCTATAAAGCCATTCATTACTCGGTTTGGGTCAACTAAAACTTATTTCTTAAGTTTTTGCTTACATAGTTTGTTGTAAGAAGAAATTGGTTATTGAAAGACTCAGTCATAACTTCATATATTTTTAGGCAATATTCAACTGCTACAGAGGATGATCTTTTTTCACATTTGGAAGAAATCGCTTTAGTACGCAATATTACAATTTTTAAACAAAATTCTGTTTTAATGAAAGATTTTTTTAAAACCTGGGCTCATAATTTTGATGTTCCTGAAGTAACAGTAATTAGAAATTATAAAACAAATGAAATCATTTTAAAACAATCTTCAATGACAAAAAATTCTTCAGATCTATGGTATATACCATTGAATTTCGCAACAGCTACACAATTTAATTTTAGTGATACACATTTTACTTACATAATGAATGCAACCGATGACTCCGTAAAAGTAGATGCAGAGGTAGATTTAAATCTCAATTTAAAAGAGAGTGATTGGCTGTTTGTAAACAAGAAAGGAATTGGTTCCTACTCAGTGAAATATGATAAAGCTAATTGGTTACTCTTAGCCAAAACACTTCAACAAAATTATGAAGTTTTTGATTCAAGTAGCAGAATTTTTATTTTAATAGATGTACTTACCTATTTGCGAAAAGCTGATTTCGATGAAAATTTTGATATGGAAGTTGTATTGGAAATTTTGTCTTATCTTGAGTTTGAAAAGGATATAGCAGTTTGGTATCACGTTCAATATTGGTTGATCAACGGGTTTTCTCATCTTAAAAAGTCCTTCTTCGGAAATATGATTGAAACGTTCTTAAAACAGCAAACCGAATGGATTTCTGAGCAAATATTAATAAAGAAATCAATTAAAAATGCAATGATTAATGATATAAAAACTGTTATACTTCATCTTTCTTGTTCTCTGAAATTTAATCAATCTATAAAAAATTCATATGAAGAATTACAGGAAAGCTTGAAGCAATTCGTTATTGATGTTAATGCTACCGAAATATATGGTTACATATTTGAAACATGCCCCTGCGGCGGAGTTTTACTTGCAAATAAAACCGAAAAAAATGAAATAATAAGGATTGCACAAAACATATCAAATATCTTATTATTTTATTTATTCAGAAACACATATTGTACTGATGACATTGAGTTTGCAAATGAAATTGTTAAAATTATTATAAACCGATTAAGTTCTAATGAAGAAGAAGATTTTATGTATATTATCTTACAAAATTTTCTTGGTCCTGATGCATCTCCATCATGGAATTTAGTAATAGACAATATTGAAAGCAATTTTGAAAAAATGATGCAAAATGAAGATGCATTTGAAGAAATATTAGAAACTATAGTTGCGATGCCTTACACCCCCGAATATGAGAAGAAGGTGGGTATTATTAGATTATGCATATATTACGGCTCTTAGTAATAAGTTCCAATCAAGTAAACTAAATAAAATTTACTTTTAGATTGATAAAATTATTCAAAGATATCAGAAAGAAAAAACATCAGAAAGTGAAGTCATATTGGACAGATCGACAACACAAATTTCAAAATACAGAAAATATGAAAAACAAGTTTCCGTTTGGTTAACCAATTATTTCCATAATAATGAAAACCGTTTATAATTTTATCATAAATTTTTAAAACAATTCTGTTATTCTTGAGAAAAAAATAATTCTTTTATAATTTTAAGATGTCGTTATTTAGTTCCTGTGTATATATATTTCCTCTTCTTCAAAAAAATTTAAATAAAATCCATTATAAGCCCTAGTTTATAGTATTAATCTTAGGTACAAAGATCAATATCCGAGAACTCTTCCATTTGCTTTTCCAAATTTAAGTTTTACAGAAAGTTTAGTGCTCATAAACCTTAATAGTACACTTTGATAATAGTACGTCATCTGAATTGCTTTAGAATTGTTACATTATAATACATAGGGTTTAGAGTTTTTACAGTTTATACAAATAGAGTATACGTCTTTTGTTTGCTCTCAAATTTTTTTTTCTCTATTTTGGAATTTTATGCATTTCTCACTTTTATTTGTTTTTGTTATCAGCTGATAAATTTTTTATTTCTCTTTCAAATAATTTGCTCTTCTAACTTGAGTACATATTTGAAAGAGTAAAATGTTCTCTCTTTTATATATAAATTTGCAATATTTATTCACTTAACATAATTACTATGAAAGTGTTTTATGAGTGTTATCAGGGACTCTTTTAAAAGTACGATTTGCTTATCATAATTGTTGTCTAATAGCAGAATTATATGACGATCTATTGCCATCGCATTAAAAAGTTGATATCCATTATAATAATATTAAAATGAACCACAACCGGTTGAAAACTAATGGGATTATGTTAAAAGAATATATTTTATTTATCTAATTAATTTTATAGCCACATTATATTATTAAAATAAACATGACATATATATTATTAAACAAACTGGGTCATTGACCGTATTATTTTAAAGTCTAATTGCCAGTATTCTCTCAAAATCGGATCGTTCTTATATACACAATATATGATTTTAGAATAAGACGACGTTTTCTCAAATATTTTCCAAATACATTTATATTTTTATTCTTTGCCAAAAACCATACATACACACAAAATGAATATTTTTTTTTCTTTTTTTAAAAAGTTTATTTCTACTTTTCACATAAAATGAACCTGCATATACCCATACAATACAGGCATACATACATAGAACAATAAAAAAAATTAAACATTTACCCAAACATACTTTTCTTTAAGTTTGTTTTCCTTTAAATTTTCATTTCATTTTCATTGAGAATTTTTAATAAAAGTTCTTTAGGAAACTTGGGAAATCGGAAAAAAAACACTGATATTTCCCCTTCATAAAAATTTGTTTCTTTTATTTTTAGTCCGTTCAGTCATTTAAATGAAAGCGAAACATAATAATGATGTCGCGTTTTAAATTATTTTTTAAAAATAATTCATTTCAAGTTTACATAATCATTATTTTTTTATTAATAATTTTCGATAATGCAATTATTAAATCCGTGTCATCGGCAACAACAACCATTAAACCAAATCATTCAATAAAAAAATCACCCATAAAATCATCAGTGAAATCAAAATTTCAAATTGATCGTTTACCAAAAGACACAATACCATTGGAATATAATATACATATACAAACAGAAATTCACCGTGGTCTATTTGATTTCTATGGTTTCGTTAATATTCGTATTATATGTAAAAATTCAACAAATAAAATTTATTTAAATGTAAAACATTTGAGTAATTTTGGTGTTAATTTAATTGATTTAAAAACTGGTGAAAATTATGAAAATTTACCATATGAAACGGATAGCTATTCATTAATAATTATAAATACAATAACTGATTTAATACCGGATATGGAATATTTATTAAGAATTTCATATCGTGGTGAATTAACGGATGAAAATAATGGTTTTTATAAAACATATTATTTAAATAATTTTGGTGAAAAAGTGTAAGTGAATAATTGCAAAAAATATACTTGCGTTGTGTTTAGAAATAGGTGTATATTATTTACCTTGAAAATTCTTGTGTTGTGAAAACGAAAATTACTTAATCACACGAAAAAAAAAAATGACCGGAAGCAAAATATTGACTATAATTAAATTTATTTTGGCAAACAATTTGAATTTTACAAATTTTAATATTTAATTTAAAAAATGGTATTTTTTTAAAAGCCTCTTTGTCCGGCTAATTATTGGTTAGAAATATTTTTAAGTATTGATTATTAACGCTATCCTATACAAGATCTTTTCTAAAGCTTGACCTGTATTTAATAATTTACTCCAAGAAAATATTTGTGTGTTTTATTTGAAAAAATTGGCATTAATCCAGATATGAGTCAATTTAATATTATTATTCATATTAGCATGTTTTATAAAATATTTTTTTGTGAAGAAAAAAAAATTGAGAAAAATAAATTTTTAAGCGATTTTTAGCGCGAATGTACGCGAAATGTGTTTGTATGTATGTAAATGTCATAAACAAGTTGACAAAAATTAAACTTTTTTCGTAATATTGTTGAAAGTTTTGAGGTGGTGTTATAATAATAATGAGCACACGAATTACTTAAATAGGAATACATGCTGTTAATATTGTCAAAAAAGTTCTAGGAGTAAATTTTTTGTTTTTACATTCAAACTGGAAAGACAAAACTTGCGTTTGCTTTTTGTTTACCTTTACAATATTCTAATCACAATAACATACCTAAGAATTCAAGTTCTCAAAAGAAATTCCAAATGAAAATGGAAACATTTTTAAAAATCTATGATTTATTTTGAAAGTGATTTAAGTCCACTTCAAAAAAAATTTAATGTTGCTCCATAGGAATTTAAAATAACCAAAAATTCGGTTATCGGATTATTTGTTTTATAGTTTAATAATTTTCCTATCGAACAACATAAGTTTGAATTCCAATTATTGACAATATCATTGCTTTACGGAAATAAAAGTGTTCTGAAATTGCAAATGGACTTAGGGCACTTTCAAAATTAACCATCCAAATTTAAAAATCTGAAAATTTTTAATGAATCATATTGAGAGGTACTTAAACTGGATTCTTAGCCTTTTCATACTCAATACATAATAATTAACTTCGGTTTTTAATTCGTGTTTGAGAAAATATAAGTACTTTTTGGTATCTTAGGAAGAAATATATTTTTGAAATCATAATATTGTATAACATGTAATCATTTATTCCGAAGAAAATGATTCTACGAGTAACAGAATTTATGGAACGAAACTAAGTAAAAAGTCCATAATGCAACAAATATTGCAGAACACAAAACTCATGTACAGTGACTGTAAAAAATTTCAATGATTTATGTTGGAACACTTAATAAATAAGGATATCACATACTCACCCACTGTCATTATTAAAAATTTTAAATCATTTTCTAAAAAACAAAAGTAAAATTTTCTCAAAATTATAGATACAATTTTATTTCTTTACAATTCGTTCATATATAAAAGGAACCTACATAAGAAAGAAAATACAAAGATGCAAACTAGACCTTTCCGTCATCAGTCTAAAGAGCCGCAAAACAAAATAGACCCATATATTTTTATTTTTAAATTTATTTCATTTTATAAAAAATGATTTTGACCTATAAAAAATATCAAATAATCATAAGCATAAAAATTATATTGTCAACAACAAAAATAAAAATTTCTTAAATTCCAATTAGTATGAACGACAATTTACATGACAAATTATCATACTTAATTTTGTATACATACATACATATATCATGTATACATATATGTATATGTAAACACTATAATAAAATATGTAATAAGTTTAAGGTGATCATCAGAAATAATAAATGATCACATTTATATTCGATGAATTTTCGAAAGGGGTTCTTAAAATAGATTTTATGTGAACTTAAAATTACAATATAAAAGAGTTACGGAAAAAAAATAATTTTGAGATGAAGAAAAAAATTTCGAAGTTGGCTACATTACTTTGATTGCTGTAATAATTTTAGTAATAAATTTTGAAATACTTCTGTAAGAGGCTTTTAATTTTTTAAATAAACTTAAGATTCTTTTGAAATTTCTTATAAACGTAGACAATATTTTTTTCTATTAGTGGACGCGTTGCTTTTTTGTATTAAAATTCAAATTAAATTTGATAGCGATTGTTTTGAAATGAAATTGGTGCCGAAATTCAAAAGTGGAATTGTGAATTTGTTTATACACACTTGTCATGTCGTTCAAATAATGTTCAAAAGAAAAAGTGAATAAAATTAAAATTTAAGTGATTTGGTTTTCACACAATAAAAATTTTAATGTTTTTCTTACATAAAATAAGAAGAATTTCATAAATAAATTAATATTTTCCAAAAGACGCTCTATTTATGCTAATGCATATTTCGTGCGCAATACACAGTTTGCCTTGAGAATTGAGCTTTGGTAAAGTACGTGTATATTACGCACGAAATAGAAATTAGTAGCATCAAACCAAAGTTCTTGAAAAATTTGAAAATTTCATACGCGAATTTATTTATTGGGTATAATTCGTCTATTGAAAAATCAAAGTAACAATTTTATTGTGAAATTTTCAGTATGATTCTACGGTTCTCTACACTAATGTCGAAAACGAGATCGCACCAACATTTTCCACATAAATTTGAAGAAGAAAATCCATTTCTCATTCTGTCATTTTATTTTTAATACTATATTTCAGAATCAGGTCGATGAAAACATTTACCTACCGCAATGATTTATTTACTTTGTGTTGTAGAATATCAAGTAATCACCTGAATTTTGTTTCTAAAAAGAAAAACAAAAAAAATAAAACAAATAAACACTTTTGTTTTCAAAATGTCAAAACACAAACAATATTAAATGTGAAAAAATTTTAAATTTTTCTTTTAACAGGTGGGTGGCGGCAACTCAATTTCAACCGTTCTATGCACGAAAAGCTTTTCCATGTTATGATGAACCGGAATTCAAGGCTAAGTTCACTATTGCATTGACTCATGGTACAAATTATACGGTCTTATCAAATATGCGTGCAGAACCTATGCCAGATGAAAAGTTTGCGTTTATTTTTATTTTTTCTTATTATAATTTTATTTTGCTTTCATGACAGCAAAACATAATATTTTATTTTCGTATCTACTTACTGTCATGACAGCAACTAATTTAAGATGTTCTAAATTTAGTATTATAAGTTGTGTTTTTATTTTATTTTATTTATTTATTTTTTTTAATTTTAGTGGGAATTCTTTAAAAACAACAAGATTTCCTCAAACACCACCGATGTCAACGTACACATTGGCATTTATTGTATCAAACTATGAGAGTATTTTAAAAGCGTCTAGCCGTAAATTACATTTTATTTATATGATGCCAACATCAAGATCATTATCGAATCGAATTGAATTTAATAGTAATAATAATAATAACAACATTGATAATGATGATACTGATGATGAAAATGGAAGTGATGATAAAATTTCGGGTGAAAATTATATTGATGAAAATATTGATGTTTATAATGATTTAAAAAATGCAAACAGCTGGCAATTTTCAATGAATATTTCAATTAAATGTTTAGAAAATTTAAATGATTATTTTAATTCATATTCAATGATACCATATCCATTAGATAAAATTGAACATATTAGTTTACCAGGTGAATATGGAATTGGTCATGCAAGTTGGGGACTATTAACACATAATTTTGAAAATTTATTCGATCCAAATTTAAAACAATTTACTGGACATATAAATGACTATCATGATGATTTTAGAAAATTAAGATCTTTAATGGTTATGAGTCAAAAATTAGTTCATCAGTGGTTCGGTAATTTGGTGACACCAAAATGGTGGAATAATAATTGGATAATTCAAGGGTTTTCAATATTTTACTCCTACATTATTGCAAATCAGGTAAACAAAAAAGTGTTATAAGTTTCTGCCTTCAATTACTGTTTTTAAACATAGCATTTTTGATGTTTCTAGACTTTTCCTAACTGGCATTTAAATGAATTTTTAATTTTTGATATGGTTGATGCTGGATATTATTTATGGGATGAAACTGATGAGCCACTAGCTGGCACAATTAAAAATGAAGCTGAGATTTTATCAACTTTCGAAAGACCTTATTTCTATAAAGCTGCAAACATATTGAGAATGTTTTATCACGCAATTACGCCAAACGCTTTCCATCAAGGTGTATCAACATTTTTGAAACATATGTAAGCTTTTTAATGCTATACAATAAATTTATATAATATATGTATCTAAACATTTTTAATAATATAAAATGATTTTAGGGAGTATTCTGCAGTTGATGAACAGGACTTTTTCAAATATTTACAAATGGCATCCAGAAATTTATCGATACCATTTTTTAAAGATGATAATGCAGTATCAAAATCTTTTGAAACATGGATACATCGTTCCGGTTTTCCAATATTAACAGTAACAAGAAAATATGATTCGAGTTCTTTTACTATACAACAAGAATCAAATACACAAGAATTCCAAAATTTATGGTGGATACCAATGAATTTTGTTACAGCAGCTGAACCAGAATTTAAGGATACCAAAGTTGAATTTATTTTACCAAAAATACATAGTGCAACTATTGATCCAGCAATAGGAAAATTAAAAATAATGCCAAGTGATTGGTTATTACTTAACAATCAACAAACAGGCTACTATATCGTTAACTATGATAATGATAATTGGCGTCTGTTATCAATAGCATTATTGGATAATCCATCAATACTACATGATCATAATAAAGTACAAATATTTCGAGATTTAAGTATTTTATCGGAAAAAGAAATTTTACCAATTGGTATTGTTATGGAAATGTTACGATATTTAAAACGAGAACGAAGTTTAACAGCATGGAACGGTGCTACATTTTTAATAGAGAATTTAAATTGGAAATTACAAGGACGAAATGTAGCAATTGATTTTCATAGTTATATTAAAGAATTAATTGAACCAATGTTTAAAAGTTTAGATTTTTATAGTGAAAATGATATTCCATATAACAGATATGTTAAGTATAATATTTTTGATTTAGCATGCCGTGTAAATTTAAAAGAATGTCGAAAAATTTCTGAAATTGAATTTAATAAATATTTAAGTGAAAATTTACAAATTCAACCAAGTTATTTACGTAGACCAATATTATGTACAAATTTAAAATTTTCAAATATTGATCGTTTTCGTAAAGTTTATGAAAAACTACTTGAAATCAAAGATCTAAACGAAAGAGATGATTTATTGTATGCATTAAGTTGTTCCTTTAAAATTGAATTAAGTGAATACTTTATTGAATCTATTTCTACTGCAAACATTGAAAATTTTACTCAAATTGAAAGATCAACAGCAATTTATTATAGTTATTTCAATAATAAAATTAATCGTCCAACAATATTACCAATTTTAAGTAAAAATTTTCTTAAATATATTCGTTTACCATCGGATTTATTAAAAATTTTTCATCAAAAATCATGGTATTATCATGGCAGTGAAAGTCAAAGAATAATCAGAGATGTAAGTGTATAAAAACAAACAGAAAACAATTGAAAATTATGAATTTTTTATTAAATTGAAATTATTTTCTTTTTAGCTTAAAATTCTGATTAAATATTTATTAACGACACCAAAAGAAAGGCCATCATTTCGAATGTACAGTCCAAGAGAATATCTGCCTGATAGAGTCGAAGAAGATCTATTAAAATGGTTAAAACATTATAAAAATAAAACTACATACTTTGCGTCCCATAGTGTCAAATTGAATTTTGATTATAGTTTTTTAATTTTTATTTATTTGATTTTATTTGTTATTTTTTAATAAAAAAAAAGACTGTTATTTTAATATTAATATTTTTCTTTATGTTTAATGTATTTGGGAAAAATTCCAAAAAAAAAAATTGGCAAAATTATTAATTTTACAAACACTTTCACGGAAATAGTACTAAATACACTAATATTTAGAAAATTGTACTAATATTGACAAAAAGGATCAGAAAATTTGTGCTTAATAAAGTAAAACTCTTTTTGTATATAGCCTTCTTAGAATAAACCAAAATTAGTAAATGTCTTAATTATTTAAAATTTTCTTATAATGTATAACAATTCCGTCCGGTTTCTTTATTATTATGGGAACCAAAAAACACATGACAGAGAAATTCTTAAGCGCACAACACTAAAAATAATCTTGAATTATCAATTTTTATTAAATTTCTAGTCAATTATTTTGAAATTATTCTTTTAGGATTCTTGCTATGTACCAAATAAAAACAAAATATGAGAATGAACTTCAAAAAAAAAAAATTCTTGTATTTTAATCTTTTTATTTTTTTTTGTCTTTCTTTGTTATATTAGAATTAGATTATCAGAAACAAACTTCTATTGTATACGCTAGCTATTATCAGTCAGTACTCAGGTCAAATATTCTATTTATAGAATTTCATATATTCTAGTGATGTCTGATTTCAAGCATAATTATAATTGTACACATAAAATTTATTAATTCTACTTAATATAAGTATATGTTGCGGAAATAATATTACATTAGATTATTTTTAGATGAAACCCATTATATTACAAAAAGAAAAATTATTTTATTTAAATGAGAAAAAAGTTTGCGTTTCTGATTGCACCTCCGATATTAAATTGAAAATGAATATTTTCTTTGATTAAAATCATTTTTTTAAATAATTAATTTAAATATTTTATTCTAATATTTTGTCATTATTCTAAATATAGAATTAATTTGGTTTTCATTTAGAATTTGTTAAAATTGGAAAAGATTTTTGCACCCTATCCCTTTAATTTCAGGAAGAATTTTTAAATCGATTTAATAATTTTCGCAAATCTGACTTAAAGGAATAATATGATAAGTATATTATTGTTATTGTAATAAGTATTAAGTAAAATTTAAAATAATAAATGAAAATCATACTGTAAACAAGTGATGTTAGATGAATAACAAAAATGATTCCTCGGGATTATGAATGACTCAAAATTCAAGTTCCTCTTATAATCTATAATAACTGAATTATTACAGTTAAACATCTGCCAGAAGCATATGTACATAAATCATTTGTTATTTTGAATTCCACATAATTTTTTTTAAACAAACCTTGTTTTCAATTCCATATAAGGTAGTGTTCTAAAATTATGAATCTATATCAATAATTCTCACTTTTATAAACCATTTTAATCTCATTTCTTCCAGACATTGAATAGTGTTCCCACTACGTACACTACTCATAAGCCAAGACTTTGCATTAAAGATTAAAGTTTAATTCTCAAATCAAAGCAGAAGACACAATATTCATTCAGTCATATGGCAATAGCAAATTTGAATGAAAACATACAAAACGTAATAATATTATTTGTCTCCGAAATTTTTACTCTCTCAAATTTCTAGTCAAATCAATTGTTATCACAGTAATATTTTTGTACTCTTTTTCTCTTCTCTGATTAAATAAACATGTGAATTATTGATTTTTATCAGGCGAACAAAAAAAAAATTGCTAATCTGTCCTTCAATACATTCAAATACTTTAAAAGTGATAATGTCCGTTTTTATATTATTTACCATCGCATTTTAATAATGAATCTCATTACATTTTAATCTTTCAACTAATCAACACGCCAATTCGAAATTAAAATTAATATTTTTTGTGTAAAACTTTTATCATTTAATTTATATTTTATTTTTTCTTTGATTTTCTTTTATATTTTTTTTTTTACTTATAAATGAATTTCGATTAAAGAATTAAAAAAAAAAAATTTTCTTGTTTTTAAGAATGATTGGATTACGCTTAATAGTCTTATTATTATTAATTTATTATACTCAAATAATATGTGGTGGGAATACATTTTTTACGCCGCGTTGTATGGGTCCGTATCGTGATGAAAATAGTGAAATATTAAATTTACGTTTACCAAATGATACAAAACCAATTAGTTATAATATTAGTTTATCAATTGATGATATTAATAGAAAATTTATTGGTGTAACAAATATTGAAATATTTGTAATTGAAAATACAAAAAAAATTATTTTACATTCAAGTGAATTAGACATTTTAAAAATTAATATTAATAATATTAATGAAAATAATAATGAATTATTAACTGATATTAATTATAAATTAGATGAAAATTATAATAAAACAAATTTTTTAATTATTTTTTCTGAAAATGAAAAATTTCAATTTGAAAAAAATAAAAAATATTTATTAAGTGTTAAATATGAAGGTTCAATTGATGAAAAATATGCAAGAGGAATTTATATATCGAAATCTAGTGATAATATGTGAGTGTTATTTGTTATTATTTGATTCGTTAATTATTGTGGTGTTTATTTATAGTTTGACATTAAAAATTTATATTTTGAAAGACTTGATATCCTTCATTATAGTAATCTCTTTATTAACCATATAAAAAACTCTTCCTTTCATTTCTAGAACAAAAATCAGTTCTGATCGTCTCTATTTCATCAAATTAATATTATTAATCCATTAACACTTATTAATAGCTAATAGAGAATATTTAGAGAAATAGAGTGATCTAATAACGTGACGTCAAAAAATCTCCATTGTCAAATTTTTTTTTCTTAAGGTGTTTTTATTTTCTTTTGTTATAGAAACAAGAATCGAAAAACTTGAAAAACTTCTTAAAAATTTTATTACGACACTCATTTTCGTCATATACTTACAACAAAAATTTTAATATTTTATGCAAATTTACCATTGAAAAAAAGAAAAACAGGTCGTGATCTTGAAAGTTAATCTTATTTCTCTTTATTAAAAATACAATAACGTCTTCTTAAATAATTATTGTTAATATTGCAAAAAATTATTGCTATTTATTATTTATTCATACAACTAGCGCTATTATCACTTCAATAATAATTTTCCAATTATGCCCTACATCGAATTCGATGTGCATTGTACGCTCTTATGAAATTACATGGCGATGATTGAAATATTATTAAAAATCAAAAAAAAAATGTTATTAATGAAAATATGAAAAACTGAATTAAAAATAAAATAATAAATTTATGTTTGTTCAATATAAAATTTGCGATGTTTTGATAGAAAAATTGATAAAATTTTTAACAGTTTGACATTTTTATTATTTGTTGTTTATTTACTATTGATAATTTCAATAAATATATGCCTATGTGTGTATATATGTGTGTGTGAATTTGATACAAAGTCGCAAATAATTACGAATTATGATTAAAATATAATTCGAATAAAATTTTATGACGTAATTTACATTTCTCTTTTATTTTTACCAACCGGATTGCGCACAATAAGGGAGGCAATGTGATTGCACCAAATTTTGGATGTCGAGTTTTTTTGCAGGGACCAATTTATCCATGGTAGTGAAGTGTAAATCAATTATTTTTAGAGAAATGTCGATCTGTATGTTTGCCCAGCAGTTTGTCTGCCTGCCCGTCGGTCTGTCTGATTGTCTTTGTAGGCGTGTATATCAAGTTCGACTGAACCGATTTAAATGAAAATTTATATTTGAGTGTATTTTGGTTAAGTCATGGATTGATCTTGGAACTGTTGGGATATATTAGACCTCGGGAAAGTGACCTTTTGTACATTTTCACTCATATAAAGAGAAGTAATCAACCAATTTCCTTCAAATTTAATATTTAAATTTGGGGCTTAAAAAAAATAAATCAATAAATTTTTGGAATAATTAAGGCTCTGAAGCCACACAAGTGGCCGAATTTAAATTTTTTATCATAACTATTGTACTAATTGACAAAATTTTTTGAAACTAAATGTTTGAATTCCGTTTACGGAAATTAACTGACAAACTTCTTATTGAATTCAGATTGTACAAAGCGAAATTCTATAAAGAGTAAAATTTCCATATTTCTAGGTATGCCAACTAAAAACTTACTAGCTTAAAAAGTACATATTTTCATTAGGCATTTTCATTATTTTCTGTAACACTTTTCCTAAACTAGATAATACATACTGCGATTATGTGCTGATCACATCATAATATTATTTGAATTTCTTTAAGAAATTCAAATTTAGAATATTATTTATTGTATACCAAAATCGAATATTATTGTTGAACTTACATACATATAAGTGTTTACCTACATACATATAGATATATGTAATAATACACTTTTACTCCCATATACATAAATACCTATGTTTATGTAGGAACATAATTTTAAAAATTAGTATAGAAAATATATAAGCTTGTGATTTCTGGACAATGATCTTTGACTTCTTAATCGCAGTTATTTTGTGTATTTACTACGTATATAATAATTTTTTAATAATTACTTATAACATAATTAATTTGCTAATTTGAATATTCCTATTAAATTTTAAAGAAAAGCGTATTATTTTGAGAGATATTTTAAATTTAGCTAAAGTCGTTTCATTAAACTGCCCATTCTCTCTAAGTATTGATTTCATTAAATTCGATTTTCTAAGTTTCATTTTTAATAAGTTCAATAATTAGCTAGCTTTAATATTTGAATTGTATGTAAGTTCATCAGAAATTCAATATAAAATTATAAAGAGCTATGATTACCAAGACATTTTCCTATAGGTCACACAATAAATCTCTCAAACCACTTTTTGGGGATTAAATTTTTTAAACAAATTGTTGAAAAAAATTGCAGATTCTGGAAAATTCTATACTCCGAAATATTCTTGTTTTATTCGAATACTCTTATTATAACTTATTATGATATTCTGTAAATAAGTTTCTGAAAACTTTATAATTTAGTTTTTAGGCCAGTCGATTGATTATATATAGGAATATACATAATTATATACATAACATTTACAATAATGTACTTACATCAAACGTGAATTTAATAAATTACTATTTTTTTTAGACCAATTATTACGACGCAATTTGAGCCAACATTTGCAAGAAGAGCATTTCCATGCTATGATGAGCCTCAATATAAAGCAAGATTTCAAATAACGATAAGTCATTCGAGTTTATATTCAGCTTTATCAAATATGCCGTTAGATGGAGAACCAGTTGAAACAACAATAGCAGAACAAAACAGGTATAATATCATTGATTTTATATACATATAGTCGATATATTCTGTAGTACTAATAATGTTAAAATAAACGGCAGACAATTTTTAAAATTCTTGCAGTTTTGAATTTTTAAACTGCAGACCTGCTCCTTTTAACTGAAATGACTACTTTTATATTAAATATTTATTTTGCTTTTTCCTTTTAATTCAATTAGTCACATAAGTATTTCATTATTTTCCTAGTCACTGAATTTAGTTTTGCGATAAAGATTATAAATGTTGGCTTAGCACTTCGCAATACAAAAAAAAATATTGTCTGTAGTATGTTATGTAATATTTGCAGTATGTTTTTGATTTTAGTATTTAAAAATTTTATTTTTACTGTGTTGTCAAGTTTTTTTTAAATTCTACGGTAACATTTAATGTTTCAAGATTATTTGTCTTAAAGTAAATAATTAATCTTACGTGCAATTTCTATAAAATTTATTAAAATAATTAGCTTAAGAATTTTAAATATAAAAACATACTTGAATCAGTTCTTGGATTTGATAAAATGAATTACTCAGAATTTAAACACAAGCTATATTCAAAAATTTTCAATTGTTAAATAAAATTTTAAATCTATAGTAATTTTTATATTTATTTAAATTTAATATATTTAATTTTTAGTGATGAAAATGATATTAATATGATGAATGAAACAATTATAACTGAACCTCTAATAACAATAGTAACGACGAAATTTCAACAGACTCCATTAATGTCAACTTATATTCTTGCTTTTATATTACATAATTATCATAGTGTATCACTTACAGTAAATAACGTAACCCATAGCGTTTATTATAAGAATGCTTTACAAATAGATCATGCACGTTATACTGTCAATAAATCAGTTGAACTTTTATCAGCTATGGAAAATTATTTTCAAATAAATTATCCATTATCAAAATTAGATCATATTGGAGTACCAACAACATTTGGACATGCTATGGAAAATTGGGGTTTAATTATATATCGTTATGATACTTATCTAATGGATCCAACATGTAGTACAATTAAAAATTTAAGAACAATAGTATCTGTAACACATGAAATGGTACATCAATGGTTTGGTAATTTAGTATCACCAAAATGGTGGTCATATATTTGGTTGAACGAAGGTTTTGCAACATATTATAGCTATGTTATAATGAGAAAGGTATGTTATAATATTAAAAATAAAAAAAATTTATAATTTTCTATATTATTTTCATATTTCTTCGGTAAATAAAAATTAATTTAAATTATTTGTATTCCTTGGACACAAACCAGATGAATATATACACACATGTACTCATTTGATAATGCACAGAAGTTTTCATTGAACTTTGCAAAATTCTCTGTTACCATCACCAATGAGTCAAGTTTTAAATTAAAATTAATTCATTTATTTTGTTTCGAAAAATTTATTTTTATTTAAAAATTGGTGGTGTGCGCACGTTATTTATTGTGCTAAATAAAAGTTTATGGTTTTATTGTGAATCTTTTAAAGTAATTCCCATGACGAATACTCGCCTAACGTTATGCAATTTTTATTACTGTATGTACCTAGCTATTTTCAATTTTAATAATTGAATTTCATTTCATTATTTTCGTCCCATATGAAGATACTTACGCATATACATACACTCTATATTATATACATATAATTTGATTAATATTTTGTATGATTCATTATTTTTTTAACTCATATTTTAGGTATTCCCTGATTGTGTTCACGATCATTTCTATTATTTTGATTCCTTAAATATTGCATTTGGAGCTCTCTGTAAGAGACCGTTGACAACAGATTTGGTTGAAGAAATCGACATAATGAGTGCCTTTGATCATATATCGTATCATAGAGGTAAAAGCGGTTTTTTTTTATTTATAATTTTTATTAACTGAATGCATTAAATATTTTAGGTGCTGCGATTATTCGAATGTTGAACGATGCATTAACAGAAAAAACTTTTCAAAGAGGAATTTACAATTATCTTGATAAATAGTATGTAAGAGCTTTGTAAAAATGAAAAAAAAAAATCGGGAAACCCAAGAAATTGCACAATTCAAATTTCTCACTTTCCACCATTTTTATTTTAATTACATTGCGATAACCACTATATTAATTTCTGTTTTATAAAATGAAATTTTAAGAGAAAAATTTATTATTTTTTTGCTCTCTACTAATTTTTATTAATTTAATATTAAAATATTTTTCATTTTAGTAAATACGATTCAGTTGATGAAAATGATCTCTTTCAATGTTTAGAAGAAGTTGCTATTAAAGATGATCGAAAATATTTTAATAAAATTGGTTTCCTAACTGAATACATTAAAACATGGACAAATAATCGAGGTTATCCAGAAGTTGTTATTGAAAGAAATTATACAACAAATGAATTGAAAATTCAACAATATCCAATTTCAATGAATTTTGAAAAAGATTGGTATATTCCAATTTCAATTGTGACATCAGTAATGCCACATCAAGAAGCTATACCATTAGAATATCAAGGATATCAAATTGATTTTATTGTACCGCCAATTAGAAATTTTACATTAAATTTAAATAATATAAAATCAACACAAAATTTAACTGCTAATGATTGGTTAATTGTTAATAATAAAGTATCGGGATTATATAATGTTTATTATGATGTAGAAAATTGGAAATTGATTGCAAATGCTTTAAAAAAGAATCCAAATAATTTTGATGTATTAAATCGTATTCAAATATTACGTGATTTATTTACATCATTTAATCGATACGAAAAACATTTAGAATTATTTTTCGATACTTTATCGTATTTAAAATATGAAACAGAAATTTTACCATGGTATGAAATCATTGAAAGTCTTCAGGCACTTGAAAGTAATTTCTCATGGTGTGAAATATATCCGAAATTTAAAAATTTTCTACATGATATTTTGAAACCAATAACAAAAGTTATATTAAATGAAGAATATAGAAATAAATCGATGATTGATAATCAAGGAAATTCTACAGTAACATTTATGAAATTAGATTCATTAAGGGATATTCTTAAATTATCCTGTGATGTTAATATTGAAGAATGTTTAATACATTCATATCAGGAGTTAAAATGTGTTTTAAATCGTAATGAAGATTTTATTGATTGCTTTAATGATTTTGAATATAGTTTATGTGGTGGAATTAAAAAACTTACAATTGAAGAATTTCAAGTTATTCTTGAAAGAATATTGGTAATTGAAAATGTTGGCGATATGTTTTATATAACTGAATTATTTAAATGTTCCGATAATCCTGATCATATAAATTTATTTTTAAATTCAATACTAGATTTATTAAATAATAATGATGTGGAGAATAAAAGAATTTTATATCAAAGTATATATGAAATTGGAAAATCTAGTAAATTTAATATGAAAATTACAATGGAATTTATTTTAAAAAATTTAGCTGATTTACAAAAAAATCCATTTGTATTAAAAAAACTTTTAGAAAGATTACAATTTGATGATATTACTGATGAATTTAAAATTTTGGTAAGTTAAGAGAGTATTTCCTTTTATTATTAATTAAAATAATTTTTAATTGAAAATAATTGCACTTGATTTATTTTAATTTTTCTAAAATTTATTGTTGTAATGGATGTGAATTACTAGATTTAACAAAAACTTTTATCTAATCGAAAACAACTTACGCATTCGGTTTAATTTACCACAATTGATAAAAAAATTTCCAAATTTATGTTTAACAAACTGCAACTTTTCTAAGAGTATAGCCTATGGATTAATGAATAATCTACATGGATTAGCAATTTTAGTCCTTAAACAATTGAACCCAAATTGCATATTCGGAAACCTCATGGAGTTGTTCTTAAACAAATTAATTTTTACTTTCTTTTTTTAATTGGCAATTCTAATTAAAATTTTCCACTTAAAAATTTAATTTTGTTAGTTTGAATTCGCATTTTAATCTAAAAAGGTTTTGATAAAAATCAAAATGATTATTAAATTTAATTAAAGAAAATTTTTTTTTTACTTTTTCTCCTATGAAAAAAGAAATTTCGTAAGATAATGAAAAGCACTTGAAATTTTTTAATAATTTTTTTTTGTTTTTTAATTTTTAGCGCAAAAGAATTTTAAGTGAACTTGAAGTGGAAAATAATGATGATAATTTTGGTTCAACTGATTCCGATAATATTGACATAATGTCACTTTTGAGTCGAAGATTTTTAACGAAATGTGGTAAAGCAACCGATTGGCTTAACAATTATAGAAGTGAATCGGACAATATTGTATCGAATACTATACTAAGTTTATAGGAATTTAATTTTTAAATTTTAATTATCAAATAAGAAAATAAAATTAATGTACAAGTAAATTAAATTATAGAAATGAATTAATTTTATATAATTTTAAATAAAAATGCAAAAAACAAAATTTAAATTAAATTTTAATATTAATTAAAATTTTGACGCTAAAAAAAATTTAATCCAGATATTGTTGATCGATTCTAAACTCTCATATTGAATTCGTACCACAAATCCTAATACTTAATTGAAGAAATCCCAATTTTCAAGTCCTACACCATTTTTCGAATCAAATTCGATTTTCAAGTCTTTAGAACTTTTTCATCTTTTTTCTTGTTTTTTTTTTTTTGGATTTGTTAAAATTAGTTTCTTATAGCTGTTCGAGCGCAAAGGCTAAGTCTATGAAGGTAAAAATTGAATACACATTTAATTAAAATTATTTTTTACAAAGCAAGAATTGGCCAAAATTGGCCGGAATTGGCTAAATTGATCGTATACAACTAAGGCGCTCGCTCAAAAATTGTCACTGACATAAAAGTATTTTGTTAAAAAATTAAATTTTTTATTGTTTACAAATTGTAAAAACTATAACATTTTCATTGGTTATCATTAATGAAAAACTATAAATTAACAAACTAGAAAAATTTTAAAAAATATTTCTTATGGTCACAATTATAACAGCCATTAATGCAGTGAAACTAAGAGCAGTTTGTGCTGCGGAATTGCGCTTGAAGAATTCTGCTAAATAACTTCTAACAGGTTCAACATTATTTTTAATCCATTCCAAACTGCTGTTAATATTGGCTTCTACTTTTTCTTTTAATTTTTCGTCAACGTCTTCATGATCTTTAACCATATCAACTAATTCAAGGAGCTAAAATTTGTAAGCAGAAAATAAAAGATTTAAATAATAATTATTATTTCATATTTTAAATGTTCAATTGAAGTATTATGCATCAAAAAGTATTTTATAAGCACCTTGTTCTTTTCATCTTCACTAACAACAACCTGGGACAATCCCTTAACTGCATCATCAAGTGGACTTGTTTGACCGAATCCTCTGGGTAATTTGGAATATTCATTGAACTTTCCTTTTAAGAAATCAACTGCTACTTCAAAACCTTCTTTATGTTTAGAATACACAGAATTCAATATATTTATTCTTTCTTGTTTCCTTAAATTATTATTTTCATCAATTGAACTCTCAACAAATTTCTTTAAACTCTTCTTATCGTGAGTACAACCAAGTGTAGACATTATTAATTGACGTTCAGCTTGATCATTTGATTTTAATAAGCGTTTAAACAAATAGTTGAATTGTTCTTCAGTAGATTTCTTCAAACCATTACAATAAATAACTGATTGTAGGTTTGGTTCTATTTCAGTTTGTTTTTCTACTAATTCTTTAAGTCTTTCATTTGTCGTATCTAAACATTTTTCGCTGCCACCAGCACATGCCCAATTAATTGCAATAGTGCGTACATATTTATCAAAATGACGATCTGTGCTATTATCATGAACTCCCAATTTTTCAAAAATCTTCTCAACATTCTTAAATATAAAGAATTGTAAATTGCTGTAGACATCTTCATTATCATGGAATCTATTCTTATAAAATTGAAATGCTACATCAACAACTGACCAGGGTGAATATTCAACTTCTTTTGGTAAATATTCCAATAAATTAAAGAATTTATTAATATTCAATTTTTTGTTTAAACTTAAGCGATAACTGTCAGATATCAATTGAGCCCGATTATATTTATGAATTTTATTTGGATCTTCTTTTAAAGCTTTTGTAATTAAATCCCAATTTTCATCGTCATAATTAACACGATAATAACTTGTCAATTGTTTATTTAATATTAACCAATCATCTTTACCGAATTTTGCATTATCGTCCGGGTTAACTAATTTTTCCTTTTCAAATAATAAATGTGTAGTTCTGGTATCATTAAAATCTGAATTATTTGCTGTTACAAAATTAAATGGCACCACCCACTTTCTGAGATCTTCATCAGTTTTACCATCATTTTTAAAACCTTCTTGCTCAACAGTAAAGCTACCATTTTCATAATTTCTTGTAACTTTCAGTAATGGGAAACCTGGCTGGCCAGACCACGAACCCATTAATCGAGCAATAGTTACATTTAGTTTTACACCAACTTCTTTAGCCCCTGCTTGTAATGCATCAAAAAGATCATTTTCATTAGCCGATTTATATGCCCTAGAAGCAAAATTTACGTGAAAATTTTTGTAAATATATCGGAAATGAAAGATACTTAAGCATTTAAATTCTTTTTAAAAACTTACATTTTATTTAAATAAATATTTAAACTTGCTTTGAAGGCTTTTTCACCAATATGATGTCTTATCATATTAATGACACATGCAGCTGTCATCAAATAGAAAAAAAATAATTAAATTACACATAGCATGAAGTTTTGAAAAGCACATTTACAAATTACCTTTTGAATAAGAAACTGAATCAAAAAGACTAACAATTTGTCTCGGATGCTCAACATAGTGTGTCATAGGACGTTTAATACCCTCATCAGCTCTCAGAGCTCGTTGATATTCAGCAACAATGAAATGTTCCATAAGATCCATTTCTGGGTAAGCCTTAAAAACAGCATAAAATATTAAAAATCAATTAGGGTCAAATACAAAACAATTAAAGAAAATTTTCTTTTAAGTTTTTAATTATTCTTAATTTTCATTAGGAAAATGAAAACTGGTAATAATTGCACCGAGGACCAGTGGAGTGGGAAAACTCAACAGCAACTCCCACGTCGAAAACTTTTACCGTTACAGCAATTGTTACAGCATTGATTTTGCATTGATTAAATGGGACAAAATTAAATTTCAGTCGTTCAATAGTTAAAAATCAAAAACTTTAATAAAGAAATTAAGCTGCGCATATTTCAAATTTGCACAAATAATTTAAGTTATGTCGTTCAATACTGTATTGATAAAAGTTTGCGGTCAGCGACTGGATCTGGTTCAATTATTAAATGATAGAATTACAGTGAGTATCATAGAATATTTTGAGCATCTAGGAAAAGAATTAAGCTTCATAGTTAAGTCGATTTTGGAAAAATGTTGCCGAACCATACTTGCACCGTGTCGATAATAGATAAGCACACAAACTTTAAAAATCAAATTAAAATAAAACTTTTTATGAAACACCTTGTATGCACATAAGTACTACAAAAATTTTATGACGCTCATAAAAAATGTGTCCGATATCATAAAGAAATCGTGTTAAGATAACAAGATTAGTTTGGCTATTGTTTAAGAGCTTTGTTATTGTGTTTTGAAGTCATAAAAATTTTGGGTGATTAATTTTTTTTTTCTTTTTGATATTTTAAGATAAGAATTCGCCTTGTTTTTTTAAATTGCTACTAAAATTTTTCATTAAATATTATTAAAACTTACCAAATCAGCACCAATATATGCAAATAATGAAGCAAAACCTTCATTTAACCATAAATATGACCACCATTGTGGTGATACTAAATTTCCAAACCATTGATGACCGTATTCATGAGCAACAGTATTGGCGACTACAGTTTTTGTTCTTAAAGTTGAACGTGTTTCATTATATAAAAGCATTTCTTCACGATATGTAACTAAGCCCCAATTTTCCATAGCTCCTGCAGCAAAATCTGGTATACTGATTTGATCCATTTTCGGGAATGTATATTGATAATTAACATAATCTCCAATTTTATTTAATATTTTTACTGATGCATCTAAAGCGAAATCACGTTCATCTTCAGTTCCAGGTCTCGAATAAACACCATGTCTTATATTTCTACTTTCATCAAATTTTCCAGTAAAATTCGATATTATAAAAGCAACTAAATATGGTGACATTCGTTTTGTGGGTAAAAATGTTGTAACATTGTATCCTGTTAATGTTTTACTAAAATTTAGACAAAATATATGAAATTGATAAGTTCGTTTTAGAATAATTGTACAGCATATTGATTTAGTGAAGAATTTTGTATATAATTTGCATACGCGTATAGTAAATAAATGCATAATTTAAAATTTTTATGAAAAGATTATGATTTTTGAGAATTTACAATTTGAAATAAAATAATTAGTTTTTAAATCTCATTGTGACTTCAAAAATTCAGCGATATTCTATTGCTATTCAATTTAGCAATTAAAACTCGTAAGCTGAATTATATAACAATACCGTATTATTGCAAATTTAAAGTCAAACTCTGAGAGCATAACAAATTTCAATTTTCTCATTTTTAAAAATTAAAAATTTAATTTCTAAATTCACAATAAATCACTTTACCTTGGTTCTGTATTTTTAACTGGCATATTTGAGAGTGCTGTGTAATTATCGCCATGAGTAATTTCAATTGTTACTTCTGCTTTTATTCCAGGTTCATCATAACAAGGAAAACCATGACGTGCATCTGTACTTTCGAATTGTGTTGTAGCTAAAGGTCTGAAAAATTATGTAGTATTTAAAAAATAAAATATTAAATGCACAAAATTCGTATACCTACATTTAAAATATTTTTGTATAATATTATTAAATGCAAATATTATATACATAATAAAAAGATTTTTTTATATGTAATAGTAACTACAAGCAAATGACGCGCCATTACTCATCATAACAATATTGTGAATTTTAAATAATTTTTTTTTTGGCACGTTTATCAAAAGTTTCAAAGCCATTGGCCTTGTGTATATTGTGCATACTGAATCTCAGTAATAGTAAATGTCATGGAATTTTTATGTATTTTCTTTTTATATATTAGAATCTTATATTTAATTAAAAAAAAAAGCAAGTAGACTTAAATTAACTTAGTATTATTAAGAGACAAAAATAAGCTTACACTAGTTCGTTTAGTTTAGATCGCATCGTAAGGGATACATTTAATTTTTAATAATTAAATTAATAAGTTTTTGGTTTAAAGTACTCAAATATAATGCAATATTTAAAAAATTGCGAGAAAATATTTAATCTCTGCAATGCAGTAATACTGTGTTGGTATTAAAGGCGTGCAGGCCCATAGTTAATATTTTTTTATTTTTTTAGAATATTCTTGACCGTAATTTTAGCAATGAATTAGTGTATTACTAAAATTTTTCATTAGGCTTCATTCAATTAAAATTGCAAGAATGTCTATTAAATGTTTGCCAGAATAAGAAACGAAACCCAAAAACGAATTTAAGCGAGGTATTACTCTAATTTATTTTAAATTATCTTTATGGTGGCTTATGTTATAAAAATGTTATATTTTTTTACCTTGGGTCAATTTGAATGTAAATCTTTGAATTTCAAATTGTACTAGCTATTTCTTTTGAAAACTCTATGGAATTAAATAACGTCTAGCTTAAATAGACTACGACTTAGTAAACTAGTTAATGAGCTAGTTCAAATATTTTAAAATCAGAATCATGGTATTTAATTACTTATAAATCCTTTTTGTGTAATTTTGCAACTTGCCTTGCGTATAAAAGTTTACAATAAAAATTACAGTACAATATTATTTTCTTCGTTCTTAAATTTTCAATTATTAATTTGATATTTAATCATATTTTAAGTGTTATTTAAACACTCCAAACAATAACCATTCAAAATTGGAAATTTTATGCTACAATTGGCTATAACACATAAGAAATAAAAAAAAAATGTTTTAAATGATTTTTATGCCAGCCACACTTTTAAATTGCATTTTTATTATTATTATAAAAATTGCCATACTGTTTATCAACAAATATAATATTTTAGTTAAAAACTAAATACTGATCTTGACAATGTCACTTTTGTTATTTTAATTTACAACTTACTTACTTACATAAATTTTTACATATTTGGATGGCACATAAAAATAAAAAATTTTAATGTTTTTTTGGTAGTGAACTTTTTCATATATGAATTAAATTTTGTTATACATACTTATATGTATAAAAGCTTTTATGTCAAATATTTCACTGAACGTGTCATGTCAGTCAGTCGATCTTTCATCATTGTAACTATCATACTATTTATTATTACCACGTAGTTAAATTGATAAATTAAAGAAAAAATTTTTTTGTTTTGTGTAAAAAAATTTAAAAATTTTGAATGCATTAAAATAAAATATTTGATTTTTTAACGACCGCATTGCATATAATAAGGGAGGTTATGTGACGGAAACAAATTTTGCATACCGAGTTTTCGGCGAATTTTTTTAAAAAAGATCAGCCAAATTTACATTTTTCGAGGTATGTTAGCTTAAAGCTTGCTAACTACCATAAAATTGACTTCTGTATCACTTTCACTAAACTAGACAATATACATTGCGGTCGGTTATTTGCTGATCACTTTAGATTTTCTAATTTATATACAGCTACTTACATAATTTCTTTATCCTTATTTTCATATGTTGATAAATAAAATCCTCCATTATCTGTTCTTAATGTACCATTATATTCTATTTTTAAATAATAATTTTGTTTTTCTTTTAATGTACCATCTTTTAATTCAAAAACTAAAAATTCAGTATTATTAGCTGGTTCTTTTGGTATTGGTTTTAAATCAATTATTTTTCCAGATTCATCTGTTAAATTTGCTGATTTTATATTAATTTTTCGTCCATGAATTGTAATACTATTTGTGTTTGTAACTGCTTGTAATTTTATTTCATTTATACCATTGAAACCATATTGACCTTTATGAACATCAGTATGTAATTTAATATTATACGAGATTGGTACAGTGTTATTTGGTAAACGATAACTAATTTCTTCTGTAAGTTTTGAATTAAATTCTTTTCTTTTTAAATTTGGTATTATTGAATGATCATGAAATAATTTATTTGGTGGTGTTATAATATTATTATCCTCATATATTGGTGATGTTAAACCAAAAATTGGTAATATTAAAACTATTAAAATTTTAAAATTAAAATCTAACTCCATTATTGATATTTAAATATAATATATTATATGGAACGTCTAATCAATTCAGGAGTAAAATTAAAACTAAATTTTCAAATAAATAAGTAATGGGTAATAAGTGGTACAAAATACACGATAGAAATGATAGAAAAAAAAAACCGCAAAAATAATAATGTATAATCATTGATTAAATTAAATCCAAATCGATTATAAGCATATACAGACAATAAGAATGAATACGTAAGAAATATCAGTAAATTATAAGAGTTTTTAAAATAATATACAATATAACTAAATACCTAAAAAGATAAGATAAAATTAAAGAAACTAAAAATCTACTTTTAAAATAAATTTTAGTAATAAAAGTACTCAAATAAATACCAAGTAAATAATTCTTCTATAAATTCCTTTTTATATTTTGATATTTTAAAAGTTATTCTATGCGATTAACTTTAAAACCTATTTAGATTATAATTTTAAACACATATTTATTAATACTTGCAAATTAAAAATAATATGGCTTTAAAATTAAATATTTCATGTGATCGGGGCATAACCGATCGCATTGCTCATAGTTTCTACATTATATTAAAAATATTACCAAATTGCTAATTATTGTTTTGTAGGTGCAATCTACTATTTTGTAACAATCTACTAGTTAATAAACGTCGAAAAATTTTAATATAATTCCTAATCCTTTTCTGAGGTCTTAGTTTAAATAATATATTTCATTTGTGAGGATTTTCTTATATTGCTGAAAAATTATAATCCAGTTGTTGGTTCCTATTTTTCAAAACAAACTTCTTACTGTTTGATATCTTTCTTATAAACGAGCTCATATATGAAATTTGATTCTCTAATCAATTGCTAGCACCAAACTGCCCTTAAAATTTGATCAATATGTTATAAATAGTGAAATTAATTCAACCGTATTTAAGATACAGGATATGCGAACTCGCTGAGATTGGTGAAAATAGTTATTTTGCAGTTCCCTGTTACGAGGAAATTTTAAAATAGATGTAATCAAAATGAGACTTCCTTATTGTATTGTAATACAGTCCGTAAAATTTATTATGTTGATATTTTAATCAAATTGCTGAATTTGAAGAAAGCTACTAATTGGGCATCATTACCAATTATTTTCATATAAATGAAACTTTTGGTTACATTTAATATAAAAAGTGAATTTTAAAATTTAGTTTTAAAGTTATTACAATTGTTTTGTGTACGAACGTTACTCTAAAAAAAAAAGTTTCGCAAGTGATAGTGATTAGCAAAAATATTTCTTTAACCCTTCTAGTATGAAAATTTGTTTGAAAATCTAATCAAAATGATACTAAATAATTAAATTCATGAAAATTAAATAACTTAAGAGGATTATTCACTAGTACTTAATAGCAATAGTGTTTATTTTACAAATCGTGGTCTGCAAAAAACTTATAACAACAACATTCTTAAATACAACCATTTTGAAATGAAATTTTGGAATTGAAAAGGTTGCCCAGAAATTAAAGTCAGGACAAATAGCTAGTAAGTAATTTTGAAACAGTTTCCTTAGTGGTTGCGAACCTCAAACATTCTCCCAATTACAGTGATTTAGTAATATCACTCAATTGACATGTCCAAATAATGATATTAATCCTTTTTATCAAAGACTAATAACAGATTATGCAATAATTTTTAAATTCGGTGTAGTAAATAATTTTGTTAAAATAGATCCAGGTCCTAAAAAAATTGAAATATAATTATTGTATTACAAATTTTTTCTTTACATATGAAACTCTGAATTACTCTGTGATTTAAAAGTTGTTGAATAAGTCATGCATTTGATAATATCTCTCTAGTTCTTATATTTCATAATACTTACATTATTTTATGATTTCTGATAATCTTAAATATTTTAAAAAGAAAATAAATGCAGTCAATTGCAAATATAATTTCATTGTTTAAATATAAAATGCTTTATAAACTCTATAAGCTTTAAATAAATAAATAAGAAATAAGCTAGCAATGATAAAATTATAGACTAAATTGAGCTAACCGAACATAACTAGTTAAGAACAGAAGTCGACCTATTAGGATTCGAGCTTTTTACATGGATTATATTGTAAACATAACCTAAATTTTTGTAGACATATGTGACTAATTGGACATCGTAATTTAAAATTCCATGTATTACATAATAACTACATCAAAATCAAATAATTTTAGAAAAAAAATAGGATACAAAGGACAACCTTTAACAAAATTTGAAAATTTTCAAAATTGCTCTGACGTTCAAGTTTTTTTTAAATCTTATTTTTATTACCTTCAACGAATTGTTAGATGTATTTGTACTAGATCTTTCCCGATTATCCAAAAGGACTCATCATTATCTATGAAATATCATAGCTAAAGAAAATTTGAAGAATTGTAAAAGGCTTAAAACAGGGTTTCCCGATCATATTAAGTGATCATTGAAGACTATTACGTTTACAAGATAAAAATTTTTGATTTTGATAATACATTATGAATTTGACCAATGAGTAATAGTTTTGAAAATAAAAATTTATTATAAAAGTACAAATATCTCAGTATAATACTTAATATTTTTCAGGCGCGTAAATATTTTAAATTAGTACTTATAATTTTATACTCTAATCAAAAATTTTATTCAAGTAGATATTTTTCATGATGCAATGGAAATCTAATTTATGTAAATCTTAAATTTTTTTTACTATAATAAATTATAGATTAGAGTTTTATACGAAAATATTTGAAATGAAATGAAATGAATGAATTATACCTTGAATTGTGCAAGATTACGTATTCTAGTTCCCAATAAAATTATAATTTATAGCATATACTCAAGCCAGACTAAAATATGCTTCTTTAATTCTTTTAATGTCGTTCATTTAATTATAATAACTTTCTATTGAATATGCTAAAATATTTTAAGATGGAGTACTACGAAGACTCTAAATCTCAATATACTATAGTACAACTTTTAGTAATACAAAAATCGGTATAAATAACACGCATAAAAAAAATTGGAGGGCGATCAGAAATTCATTTTATAATAAAGAAATGTCAGAAATGTAGCTTTTAAAATAAATTTTTTTTTCTTAAATTTATAAATTTTTAATTTATGTCATTTTTCTCATTTTCGAACGACTGGCTATTTTGAAGTTGTAAGATTTGCAGGCTGCGTAAACATAAAAAACTTAGCTAAAGGTTTTGCATACTTTTTAACGCTCTGCTTAGACTCTCTTAGTGTTTAGCCCAGGTTCATTTTTCAAAATTTAATTTTGCTGAAGAAATGATCAGTTTGTCCCATTAATAAAAGTGAAATGAGCAGAGAATGGAACAAATCGGCCAACATGTGTTGATATTTGGCAAATTAACCCTTGTATTTCTAATTACAAACAATGTGTTCAGTAATGATTTGTTATTCGTTTATAAGTCATAATAATTATGTATGACATTTATTTTTTATGATGAAATCAGTTCTGTACTGGTTTCTTCAACACATAAGACACAGCTTTTGTTTTTATGATAGTGTATAAGGCTGGTTAGTGGTTAGCATAAGTGAAGAAGCATATGCTAATTTAAATTAACTAATCTAGAAGAAATATAATTAATGGGAATAGCAAAATTTATTACAAATAGTTAGAGTTTCATTTTAGAGTTAAATTCATATAGATTTGTTTCTTATTATTATCTTACATTTAATAATTAACAAGTAAAAAATTATGTACAAAAGGAAAATAACAAATATCAGAAAATGTTAAAAATTATTAAAAATTAAATTTGTAAATATTGATATTGCTATAAGAAATTTAAAGCTATCAATTTTTAAAATTCCACTTGAATCGCCATAATTGTTTCCGAGCCAATTTTCGATTTTTTTTCTATATAAACCATCCCATTCCAAATTGTTGATAACATTTTGCGCTGCCTTATTTGTGGTTTCCGAATCTATTTGAATTTCACCCAGTAATTTATTAAACTAAAAAAAAATTTTAGCTAAGTAAAAGTTTGAAAGTTAGCTAAAAACTTACTTTGTCTACATCATCTTGATGCTGTACATGTTTCGAGATTAAAATGATTGCCTTTGCTAAGCAACTTTCACATAAACTTTTATCCAACCTCTTCCAAGATTTTTGAATAAAATCCATTCCTAATTGCAATCCTCTTCTACTTTTAGATATAACTGATTCCAGTACACCATATCTTTCATCTGCATTCAAATTTAAATCTTCATCTTTATTCTTAATTGTGTAAAGAAGAAGATTCCGAAGAACATTTTCATTTTTTGCACAACCCAGTATTGAAATATAATCTGCTCTTTGGGACTCAATTTCTTCACTTAATTTAATCAGATTTTTTACTTCTAAAAAGGGCAAGATACTTTCATTATCTTTTTTTAATTTTTCACAATGAAATATTTTTCTCATATCGGTTGAGTCATATTGAAGATCGGTTTCAGTACATTGTGTGTTATTGGAGTTACAAGCTAATTCTGCTATAATTGAACGGGTAATACTCGCTGATGGTGCTTCGTTTTGTATTTTAAATAAGCCAAAATTTTTTAAGGGTTGTTCAGTAATTTTAAAAATGAACTTCCATACTATTTTAAGTAATTTTGGATTTTCCAAATTTAATAATCGATATTTAATAAACTGCATATTACTGTGAAATGCTTTCCATGGCGCATAATCTCTTTCATTTGGCAAATATTCAATCAAACTGAAAACTATTTCATAATCAAGTTCCCCAACTTTAGCTAAATGAAAAGCATCATCAATAAGCTGTGCTCGGTTTGCGACATGAATTTGAGTATGATTAAATTTCAAAGCATTAATAATTAATCGCCAATTTTCTATATTATAATTAACTCTATAATATCCAGTTTGTTGAATGTTTGCGATTAACCAGTGCGTAGAGCTATCAAAAGCTTCATTCTCGATAGTGTGCTGCATTTCTTTAGTTTTCATCCAGAATTGAGCTTTCGTATTTTTGAAATTATTTCCAAGTGGATCCGGTATTTCATAATTAATTGGTATATGCCATACCAAATTAATGAAATCATTTGAGTGAAAACTTTCCATTCGCATAAAACGTTCCTGTCTCAATTTTATAATTTTATCTTTAACTTCAATTGTAACAAATGGATAACCACCTTGATGTGTCCAATTACCAAATGTTTCATTTATATCTATCTTATAACTATCACTATTTTGCATTGTCTTATTTAAAGATTCAAAAAGATCAACTTCTGTAGACGATTCAAATTTTCTAAAATTAGAATGTCATAATGATAAAAATAATTTCGGATGAATAAACCAATTTTAAAGAATAAGTTTGAATGACAAAATTCATTTTGAATGAATAAATTAATTTTACCTTTCTCGTAAAAAATCCTTCACACCTTCTTTGAAAACATTTTCACCCAAAGCATTATCGAACATTCTTAAAACACATGATGATTTTTCATAAGCAATCCTGTCATAATTTTTTTTTATATCCGATTGTTTCTCAACATAGGTGGACATTGCTCTAATTTTTGCTTCTGTATCAATTTCGAATACATAATGTAAAACATCTGTTTGATATTTTTGCATTAAATTCCATTCTGCATACACCTGAAAAGCAAAATAACATTAGCATGGACCTTAAAGTGTACACTTAGCATTAAAATAGATTCAATATAAATAATAGTTACATTAGCAGCTCCATAATAACCATATAGAGTTGAAAATCCTTCCTTCAACCAAACATAAGTCCACCATTCATGTGTTATCAAATTTCCAAACCATTGATGAGCCATTTCATGTGCCATTAAGTATAAAATACCATATAAATTTATAGAGCTATGAAATTTTTTATTGTAGAATAATCTTTGCTCACGATAAGTTATTGCACCCCAATTTTCCATACCACTGAAATGAAAATCAGGTAATAGTATCTGTTTAATTTCTTTGATTTCTTTAGGTTGAAATTCATCTCCTTCAACTATATTATAGAGTTCATTAAAAACAGCTGCTCCATAACTTGCGGCAAACGTGGCCAAAGAATGTGCATTATGACGAACGTAAGCTATATGCTCTATTTTATTATTAGCAAAATATGTTCGATTTACTTCGACAAAGTCAGATATAATGAAAGCTACTAAATACGTTGACATTATTGGGGTTTTTTCAAATTTTGTTGCGACCAGGTTTTCACTATAAAATTTAAAAAAAAATTAAAATAAATCTTAGATCAAATTAAAAATAAATTAAAAAAAAATGCAACAACTTAAGTTGCTTCAACTGGTTTTTTAATAAATATTTACTTTTGTACATACATACTTACATATGTGCATAGTTTTAAGCTTAATTTGAAAACAACATTAATCGTTTGCAAAAATTTAATATTAAAGAAGAGAAAAAATATTTTTGGATCATATGCTATATATTGTCTATGCTAACATATTTATACATACTCGTATATCTATGTGTTTAAACTTAAAAATATGAAAAATATTTTAATAACTTTGACCGCAATGCGTCAATTGACTTGAATTTCTGAGAAGAGGCGATAAAGTAGCAACTAAGTAGATAAATAAACTAGATACTAATGTGTAAATTACTTGCATCGAATGATTTCGAAACATTTTTGAAAATCTTACACTTCACCTTTGAAAACTACAACTGTTTTTCAGATTGGCTTAATTTATTCGAAATAGCATTTTCCAAGTACTCTTGGTTAAACCTCCTTAAAAATTGGTGCATATGTTTAGTTGGTGTGTGTTAATCACACAATAAATTTTAATAACTTTAAACATTTTGAGTTTTATTTTAAATATTGCTCAATAGATGTCACATTCAGCAAGCAACATGATAAAATTTTTTAATTAACTTCGTGTACTCAACAAGTTCAACTCCCATAGCTTTATTTACTCCGTTTATTCTGGAAGTCAATGACTAATTTCAAAGTAAATATAAATAAAATAATATTTTCCACAATAAACAATAGATTATTTTGATTGCAATCAAATTAATAATAGTAGAATGTTTATTTAATAAAATACTAAATTATTTTATAACTCAAATAATATTGTTAAATTATTATATGTGTATTGTCTTGAATCGCTAGTAGAAATAGATTAGATAAAGCCAAAATGTTTTGTGTTTTAAGGTAAAAAAATATTTTTTTTTTCTAGATCAACTTTTAACCCCTTCTTGAATGACAACAATACAAATTTTAAATAATATGTTAATTAATTCTAATTGACGTAGTCCAAAATCTTAAAATTCTCATTTCTACTACGCTACAAAAATAAATCTGTGATTCTTTTTAACAGACGTTTTTGGATGTCAATGAACTTTACTTAAAAGCTTTTCATTCTTATTTTTCATATTCCTAGTCTTGAAAACAAAAAAAACTAGTTCTTGAAGTATACAGAATAAAAGACTAAAAAATTTTGAGTAAATAAACTACAAGGATTTTATGCGTCTCATGCGTTCTTTAATTAAATTTCTTAAACTTATGAAATAAATATTTTTTTAAAGGGGTTAAAATCATAAAACTATGTAATCTTATAGAATGACTTATCAAAATATTGGAATAATGTTATTTGTGTACTAATACTTACTTTAAAACTGTTTTGTCTAGAATTTTAGTATTGGATAAAGCTGACAATTTCTTTGGATGTATCAATTCTAATTGAAATGTTGATTTGAATTTTGGTTCATCATAACAGGGAAACGCATGCCTTGCTTCAGTTGGTGCGAATTGAGTAGCTGCTAACCATCTAAAATAATTTAAAATATTTTTTTTTGCTAATTGAAATAAAATTCTTTCTTCTTCAAATAATTTTTATAATATTTTATATTTACACAATTTTTCTATCATTGTACGAATAATTGTTATCCTTATAAGACGATCTATAAAATCCTAATTTGTCCTTTCTTAATTCTGACTCATATATTATTTTTAATTCATATTGAAATTCTTTTTGCAATTTTGTTTCACAATGAATTTTTAAAATTTCTGTAACATTATTAATTGTATAATTTTTAATATCAACATTTTCATTTTGATTTAATTGTTTCAGTTCTATAGTTTTTATCGTAGAATTTTTTGTATGAATTTCCACAATATCAGTTACATTCTCAATTTTTAATAAAATTTTAACTTCACCATCAAATTGAAAATCATTTTGATCGATTTCTGTATAAATTTTTATATCGTAATGTATTGGTGTTGTTGTATTTGATAAGCGATATTGTTCACGAACAGTTTTACAATAGCAAAATTTTATTGAATAATTTAAAAAAATCAAAATAAATAAAAATATAAAATTATTTCCACACCGTTTCATTATATGAAATTATTAATTAATCAAAGCGTTGAAAAAATATACGTGCTGACAAGTTCAAAAGAAAATTAAAACTAAAGTCGATGGACAAATGAAATCAAATACATACATACGAGTATGTATGTATAAAATGATAGCAATCGTCTCGTCGTACTCCGTATTAAGTTATCAGTTCGTATATTATCATAAAAATTTTACAAAAATCATACAACAGAACAGATATAAAAGAAGAGAGATGGACGTTTTCAATAAATTAATTGTTTTAGCTTGTCGCTTTTCGTTCCTTACTACATGAATGAATACCGTTAAGTGCGTCAACTACATGTTTATGTTAACATTTGGTTATAAAATGCATCCAAGGTATACACACGCATAAAAGCAAACAAATCATATAAAATAATAACTTTTTGATTTAAATCAAAATTTTAATTTAGTCAAAATTGTAAAATTTTACAGAGAGAAAAACGCGTTGCCATGTTAAATTTTAAAGGAATTTTTTAAGTAGGTTTTCAGTAATAGGTTTTCAGTAACTCAATAATTCTATATTTTAATGAAATAATAAATTAGAAAATGATGAGGTATGCGCTGAAATGGCAAAATTATATTACAGATTGAATTTCTAGAAATTTTTTTAACAAAGGTACTACTATCAACACATTATTTATTTCCAACACATAATCAACACATTTCAAAATTCATGGGAAAAATAAATTATTAATTATTATCCAATTGTCAAAAAATTATGTACGTAAATCATCACTTTACCTGCAAAACGACTTCCGTACCATCAGAATTATGTATGACAAAGTTGTAGAGGAAGACGTAGGGCATCAAAACAAAAAAAATTTTTCATCCAAAATTTTGTGTTTGAACGACTATAGCTCGAAAACGGTAAGTTTGAAAAAAGCTCCATTATATTGCAGCTTCAACATCAACATGGAATGGGTATTCATCAGACAGAATTTTGTCAATCCAATTTGTTTTAACCCTCCAAAACTACCTCCATACGGCCGAACTCTCCCCTCTCAACCATACTATCTTCTTTCTAAAAAACGAAAGGAAAAACATCAGAATCATGGGCGTGAAAGACAAACTTAAAACGACTGATTCAACCTTGGTGAAACTTCAATGTTGAGATTAATGCACACGATATATTTTTATTCTTTTAAGAACAATCTTCCATTCACAAATACTTACTATTTTTTCGGAGCAGTTTACCGTAATATCCTTTAATGGATGATTAAGTAATATTGAGTAACCATTTAAATATTAAAAACACGTCGAAAATTTCTAAAAAAGAAATATTTACAGGTTTAACAAAGCACTTATGTAAGGGTTAAGAAAATCAATTATTTTATAATCAACATTCAAATTGATTTTGTTATACGAGAGAAAATTTTAATTTAAAGTTTAAAATTTACTTATCAAACCGAAATAATCTCAGTAAATGAGTAACAAATAAAATAACGGTTGTGAGCCTACATACAAAATAAATGAGTATGTTTTACATTTGACAGTACAAATTTGGATATTGAAGAGTAAAAATGATTATTTCGAGGAATATTTTATTGACTTTATTTGCAATATTTTTTAATTCATTAATTAATGCACAAGAATTCAATTTAGAAAGTTATCGGCTTTCGAATAGTACAACACCATATCTTTATGAAATTGATATTGAAGTAAATCTAGATGAAAATAATTTTAAATTTAATGGCAGTGTTGAAATAACATTCACGGTTGTGCGACGTACAAAAGAAATTCTTTTGCATTATAAGGATTTGAATATTTTGAAAATAGAAATAACTTCAGCGACTTCAATCGCAGTTGAAAATGTTTATATGAACAAAACTACAGCTATTTTATTATTACAAGTAAATAAATTTTTAGAAAAAGGTGAAACTCATAGCTTTAAAATCACATACGATTCAATTTTGAGAGAAGGCAATATAGGATTTTACCGTACATGGTATCTTAATAGGAAAGGGGAAAAAATGTAAGTATAACTATGTGTAAGTGATTGAATTATTGCTATTCTTTGCCGTTTACACATGTATTGATAAATTATGTCATTGTTGAAACGTCGTACGCGCTTGAACGAACTAGGATGAACACATGATATTTGTTAATTTCTAACTTTTACGATCATAAAATTATTACCATTGTTACGTTACAATTATAATAATTAATCAGGAATATTTATAATATTACTTTATAAAGGAAATCAAAATTTTGGAACCATAAAGAAATAATGTTTGCATTGTTGAGATTAAAAGTATTTAGTTTTATACAAACAAAAGCCCAATTTTAAATCTTTATGATACCGAATTTGATAAGGAATCCACTCTAAGGTAGTGAGTATACTTCTAATAATCAACTGCAAAAAAAAAGTGATGAGAATTATTTTATATTTGTTATTTATTTTTTATTACCAATAAATATAGTGCTCACGATTTGTCAACAATGTCTAGATATGTAGTATGTATATGTATGTGCTTAATAATTGCTTTGCGATATTCCAAGCGCACTTGTTTATTTTTACAATCTTCATATATTTTATGACATTATAATTTATTCTAGGAGTTCAAAGGGAGGTCTTAATATGATTTCAATTATAACAAATAAATTTTTGACTATTTATAACAAAAAATTAATATTAAATTTGATTTTAGTTGGTTAGCAGCCACAGCATTTTCACCAATATATGCCAGATTTGCATTTCCATGTTATGATGAACCAAATTTAAAGGCGGCATTTCAAATTCGTTTGAAACATTCAAATAATAAAATTGCATTATCTAATCAAAATGTGCAAAGCATTATAAAAAAGTAAGTTTTACAAGCTTTATAGAAAAAGTAATTAAAAATGTTTATGCTTTCTCTTTTTAGTTCTGATGGTACCACAACAACAGAATTTGTACGCACACCAAAAATATCAACACATTCAGTTGCATTTTTTATATGTGATTTTGGATTTACTGAATCATCAGAATTATACAGAAATAATGCATTAAATAATATAACTCATTTAACATATTATCGTAGTGACATACCAGTCACTGAAATTGACTTACTTAGTTCTTCAATTACTAATGCATTTTATAGTCTTCAAAATCATCTTCTTGCAGATATACAATTATTACACAAATTACAAAACATATTAATACCTAACATATTCTCGAAGACTCAATCCAATTGGGGTATTATAACGTTTAAAGAAGCTTTGATTCGTTTTAATTCTACCCGACATTGGGAAAGAGAAATATTGTCGACTACATTGCTAATAGGACATGAAGTATCACATCAATGGTTTGGAAATTTGATAACTGTTGAATGGTGGACTTGGATCTGGTTAAATGAAGGCTTTGCAACTTTATTTCAATATTATATTACAGATGATGTATGTATACATAAAATTATTATAAATTACTTCATTTACAAAATAACTTATTTTTAGTTACACCCTACATGGAACATATTGGAATATTACCAAATTCATATTCTTCATTCTGCTTTTCGAAATGATTTTAATAGAAGATACAAATTAAGACCAATGAATCTATACGTAGAAAAAATGGAGGATATTCAGGCTTCATTCAATAAATTGCCTTACAATAAAGCATCTTGTGTTTTAAGAATGTTCGAGCATGCATTAGGTAAACCTATATTTCTTCGAGGTTTGCAATATTACATTAAAGAAAGGTAAGAGTAGATTTTTGCAATTTCATAGCTCAAATTAAAATGAAACTATTAAATATTTGTAGAGGTTATAAGTCATCAACAGAAAAACAATTATTTGATGCTCTCATAACGGCTGCTCTAGAACATGATAAATCTGTTGAAATAGATCTGCTTAAAGCATTTACCACATGGACGTCACAATCTGGTTTTCCGTATTTGACGGTTAACATAAAAAATGCTACAATGGAAATAATTCAAACTCAATTTATAGGATTTGAAAATATAAATTATAAACTCTGGAATATACCAATAAATTTTGCAACATCAGAAGACAAAGATTTTAATAATACGATTCCAAAATTTTGGCTTACAACAAAATCTATATCAGTTGATTTAAACGATTATGTAAAAGATGTTTCCGATATTTGGGTAATTTTTAATATACAACAGACCGGATATTATCGTGTCAATTATGATTCTAATAGTTGGTATCAAATTATAAAGGCTTTGATGAATCACCATTCGGAAATACATGTTGCAAATCGTGCACAACTTATTGATGATGTTTTCATATTCAAAAGAAAAAATCTACTTAGTAATGACATTTTCTTTAAGATGTTAGAATATCTGGTCAATGAACGTGAATATGCTCCATGGGCTGCTTTTGACAATGGAATCGAATTTTTAAATAATGCATTATATAACACAAGTTATTACAAAAATTTTTTACAATTGATGCAAAAAATCTTAAAACCTACTGTTGACGAGTTCATAAAGTTAGAAAACAAAACTAATTTTAATGTGAAACCATTAAAATCTATTCAAAAAGAAATAATTTATCGGCGTTCAATAGAATTTTCAGTTATGGAAACTAAAACAGCGTACTTTCTTAATAAAATGGAATATCGTCAAATTTTCTATTGTAATCAATTGAAATATCCTTCGGCCGAGAAAACTTTAAATAATATTATAGAGGAAATTTTTGATTTGATGAAAATATTTTCAGATGATCCTTCAGTTAAAATTGATTTATTAAAAGCTTTAGGTTGTATAAATAGTGAATCGCATATAAAAATTTTACTTTTAAAAATTTCTAAAACTGAAATTGATCCAGAATTTAATTTAACATCAGATGAGAAATTAATATTACTTAAAAGTATATGCCGTGAAAAGAAAATTGGTCTTCAAACTACCTTAGAAATGATACTTAGCAGATGGCAACAATTATTGATAGCTTTAGAATACAGGAATTTTATTGATTTCTTACTAGAAATTTCAAAATATATTAGAGAGCCAAAACTAATTGAAAAGGTATGTAAATAAATTAGGTCATTAATTAATAGAATTTTCGTAGTTATAAAGAAAATTTTGAGACTAAAACAAAAATTATTCAATACCAAGAATCAAGAATAATAAACTGTTTGTATTGTTTTTTAAATTTTTTAGTTTCACAAGCTAATACAGGACATGGATATACTTACAGAAGATAAATTAGACATTTGGTCTATTATTGATGAAAATCTAGAATGGGAATATGTACAGAAACCCTTAGTTGTATTATACCTTTTAGAAAACTATCCAATTACATTTAACAAAGCTGTAACATCCGAATTGCGGTGGCCTGCCGCATATTTGTTATTAATGTTGTGCTATTTATTTTTATTATATTTTAATTAATATATTTAATTTTACTGAAAATAATATTTACATTTTGAAATATCCTTGATAATTTTAGCAAGTTAGCGTTCTAAGTATCATGCGTTTGTCCTAATTGATAAAGTAACTAAAATCAAATTTCAATTTGCCAATTATGTGCAATGTTTTTCGTACAACACAATAATTATTGCTTGATCAACTTTAATTTGAAAATCTTTGCATACATTTAGGAGAACAAAGTTGGAAAATTTTTTATATTTTAAAGGAACTATGCAAATATGTAGTACAATAGATTTCATATCAAATTGAAGGTTCTTGAAAAATTTAAAAAGAAAAATAATTTTTGAATTCAATTTTTTAATGAAAGTTCACTTATGAACAATTTTAAAAACTTTCTCCATTTCTTGATTTTTGAGGATTCCAGTACGAAAAATTTATTTTATATGAACATTTATTGGATAAAAAGCTGATTCAATCATTCAGGTGAACAATGATCGCTATAAATTTTGTTTTACAAATATTTTAAATTTAAACTCATTTAACTTTACCCATTCTAAGCTCACAATATTAGTGTGATATTATTTAAAATTAAAACAAAACAAAAATTAAATGAAGCAATTATGAAAATTGTTTCGAATGGCAAATAATAGATTTTCTGGCGGATTTGTGGAACAAAAATTGAAATACACACTCTAAATTATATTTGAAATATATTTATTAGTGGGCAAGCGCAAGATTACATTCCCGTCATACCGTTAAGAAATAATATTGACAAGTAATTTTTAAACAAAAGAAAAGAGTTTTAAAATAATAAGATGTTTGGTTTTTCTGAATTGCAAAAACAAATTTCCCTTTCTTAAGGGCGCTTGCAAACTTAAAGAGAATTTATTTTTCAAAAGTAGTCCTCTGTATCATTAAAAACCTAATACAAATTTGCTATAGAACGAACAACATTTTCTATAGAACGAACAACACTCCATTTTCCTTTGCATTGAAAATTCATTTTCAACACACATATTCTATTTTAAGGCGATAAATCATGAATTTTACTAAAAGTACTAAATTATAAAAATTCAATTGTATAATTTAAATATAAAATTTGTATAGACTTTTAATTGAATTTACGCCTACAAAATGTTAACAATCTAATTACTTACATATTATATATTTTTGAGAAATTCCAAAAAGGAATATTAATATTGTTTTTGTGTGTAATATAAATTTACTTATCTAATTATCTAGCAAATTTATTTATGTGGTCTTTGTTTATATTCGAAAATAATCAAATTTTTAGCCCAGAAAAACGATCAATAATTTATCTACATATATAAATTTATAAATAGCTTATCTATGTTTCGAGGAAAAATTTCTTAATATAAATATATATATACATATATATGTTTAGTAAGTACTTATGGTTAAATTTTGTTTATTTTCTCATGTACAATTAATCAAAATTAAATTTTATTTATAATTTTTCTTCTAGAAATTCAATTATTGCGATATCCATTTATTGTGAAAAAAATTTTTCAAGGTATCACGCATATTTTAAAAATAAATACCTTTATTACAAAATTTTGTTGTGATTTGAGTAGGAAACCAATAAACGAGAGATTTTTTTTTAATTAAGGGTTTTATTCGGAGATTTTAGATGTTTTCAATGCACTTGAGTTATTTGTTGCCTACGGTTTTCAAGATGATAACCAGAGTTACCAGGCTATACTTGAAATAAAATATTATTCTATGTCCTATGCTAAAATTGATTTTAATTTAATTTTAGGCTAAGCTCACTGATTTCGCTAATGAGGAAAATTTACATAAAAATAGCATTATTTGATTAACAATTTCAAATCACCGCGTGCTCCTCCTGAATCATTTTGAATCCATCAATAATCAAAATGAGAATTATAAATTTTATTACGGAAATTATCCCATTTTTAACGTTGTACCATGATACGCGCATGTTAGATTAATCTAAGATAGAGCCACAGCCAAATGTAATTTTCAAAAATATTTTGTTATCAATTTGAAGTGGTTTTGACTAAAAGTTTATATGTGAATGCAATGTATATAGTATATCTATGATTTAATATAAGTAGGTACATTAAATAAATTAGTTTTGGTTGGTATACAAGGTCATTAAAATATCACTTAGTTGAAAAACGCGACACAGGCTATTTAATGATCCAATATGTCACTAGAATGACAATAAACCAACATCATTCGTTTTTTTACGAATTTTTTAAAAGTGTTATGAATTCAGGTCATTCTAATTGATTTAGATTAATCTAATCATTTAGATTAATATAGTTTTTAAAAAGAGTTTCAAAATGAGACTGTTAATCAATTTGGAAGAGTTCTATTAAATAATTCACATGTTAATAATTTAAATTCTTCTATATATCTTTTAAGGATATAATAAAGATAAAAATGATAATAAGCTGTTTGATTTAAGTCTATATAATTGTGCTAAGTAACTGTACAGCAATCCAATGTAATCATCTAATAAAATAAAATTATCAAAATTATTTGAAATATTCCAATTTTTTCATTGGAATACATAAGTGAATGGACTTATAATTATTTGGTTTATAATTTAGTATTATAATTGAAAATATTATCATATTTTTTGATAAAAATCACACATTGCGATTAGAATCAATTCTTATATATTAGTTTGATCGATTATTAATAAATTAAAATTTTTATTGCCGAATTTAACATGAGTAAATTTAGATCAAACAAATGGTTTCTACAGTAGCACATTTCCTTCTAAGAATTAAAAACACATTGTTTTTCTTTTTTTTAAAAGAAAAAATGTTTTATTAACATTAATCATGATTTCCTCTCATTGCATATAAATTAAAATGAGAATATTATTTTGGGAGAAACGGAATAATAATTTAAAATATATCGCTATAGTTTAGGAAGACCTAAAGCTTCGAAGATATAAGTTATTGAAGTATTGAAATTTTGGTAATTTTGAGAAGCGATAACACAAACCAAGAACAATATATAAAATTATTTTACTCGTATAACAAAATAACCTATACTTGTTTTTCTTAATTTCTGCAAATTTATTAAATTTCAAATTTCTACAATTTGAGTTTAAAATAAAAATTAAAATTTGAAAAAAAAACCAACATTGATTCAAGATAATCAATTTTTGATTTCAGTGGGCATTTTATTTTAGTAGAATTATTCTATACAATTACCCGCTTGTATGAGAAGTACGTGTGAGTCGTTCCCTCCACTTTACTTTATAAAATTAAAATACTTTTATAATTTGTATTTAAGAAGAATTTCGAGAGGCTATAAATAAAAATGCTATATACAGATATAAAATATTCACAGACCGACGATGGCAAAAAATAATTGCTCTCAAATTTTTTGTGGAAAGCAATACAAATGCAATATTGTGTAGTAAATTCCATATATACCGAGTTATTAATATAAAACATGCATAGACATTAATTTCTAAATAATATTAAAATAAAAAATTATTTTTAATTCTGTTGTTTTTTAATCGATTATTAGAATTGATAGCAATTTTTATTGATTTATAACATACTATTATTTTAGCAGAAATTATAACTTTGAATTATAAATTTTTTTTATATCTACGTTATACGTATTATGGGCACATACATATGAATAATGTTAATAAGTATGTTACTAAATAATTTGTTCAATATAAAATGAAATCATACTTTTCAATATTCGAAAATAATAAATTTTAAGAGGAAATATTAAATTTAATTATAAAATTTATAATTTGAGCTCACATTTTCTGAATTGGAATTCACTTAGTTTTTCTTACTAAAACATTACCGGGGTGCATATGTCCTCAATAACATAAGACAAGCATTAAAATTTTAAACATACATAATTAAGTATGAGTCATAATAAAATTGATTTTTGGAATTTACCAAAAAATAAAAATTTTATCTGCACTAAATTCAATAAAAATAAAAAAAAGGATTTTTATTTTCCAAAACTGTTTATTACTAAGCCAAGAATTAATTGTGATCTCGGCTATAACCTGGTATTTGTACCTTATCGAATATTGTGACACATGATGACGAGTAATGTTCCCCGGTACTTTTTTTTGGGAACCGATAATTTCGAATAATTTTAATAATTTTTTAAAATATTTAATTAAAAGCTAAAAAAAATTTAAACTTTTAATTGAAACATTTGACTACCTTCAATTAAGAGTTAAGTAAAGAAAGTAAGCACAAATTTTCATTATGGTTTCGCTCTTAAAAGGTTTAATCTTAAACATCTGAAAGGAAATTTTGAATTATTTGCTATTTTAATTATAATTATATTTTTTTTTATTTTAATAAATTATTCAAAGGGATTGTGAATTGAAATTAGTTAAAATTTTATACGGTTTTTTTTCAGATTTTTACAAAATTCATTCTTAGTAGATCCTCATCCTGACTTTACATATTTTTTAATACCAAACATTATCCTTGTAAACAACATGATGAAATTTAATGTAATTATTAAGTATATATATACAAATATTCCAATTTTTTCAAATTAGTTTCAAATAGTAGCAAAAATTCATTTCGATTCATTTTTTTATTTTAAATAGCCATATTACAAATTATATTTTTTATTTAGAAAAAAAAAATAAGGAAAAATATAATAATTAACTATCTTAAACCTATAATAATAATAATAATAATAAAAATTAGATAACCCTTATCTTTATTACATACAAATACACATACGCACATATACTGCGAAATACTTAAGCTTGGAATTAAATAAACGCGAAACCCTTTTGGTATATACATACTTGTACATATATAATGTAATTATATGGTTATTCACATATGTTATAACAGTAATTTCAGAAAATTCTTATAAATACCAGTTGAATTTAATTAGTCAGATTCAGTTTTTATTTTTCTGCTTTAACTATTTTTTGTCGTGAAAAAAAAAAATTCTTTTTTTTTTTTCTCATTTTTATTTTCTTCATTAAGTTACTGAGCAAAAAAAAAATAGTTATAGGAAAAATTAAATAAAATAAATTAAGGTTAGTTTAATAACGGTTATATATATATATGTATAAATTCTATATTGTTAAAGTTTTTCTCTATAAATTAAAACTTATAAAAACATTAAATTAATTAAATAATAATTAAATTATATTCGAAATAGTTAAGTGTTTACTATGATCTTTATAAATAAAAAATATTAATTATAATGTTTTGCTTATTGCCATAAAAAAAGGGTTCAATATAATTGTTTCGTTTAAATTAAATAATTTATAACTGAATTATAATTGAAATTCTTAAAAAAAGGACAATGCAATTGCAGTTTCATAAAATTTAATTGAAAATATAAAAAATGGTAAATTAAAATGAAAGAATCGCAGTTTAAAGGTTATTCAGGCTAAAAATGGAAAATTTTTATTACTTTTTCAATTTTTCGCTTTTGTTAAAATATGCGCCATAAAAATTTTTCAATTAACAAAAATTCATTTGGATCTTGTACGGAATTACCTAAAATTTGGAAATTACTAAAATTCAAATGCAATCACATTGAGAAATTTTAATTTATATAAGCATTTTGTAATTTGACATAGGTACCTATACATGCTAAGTTCGTTAAAAGAATTAATTACATAATAAATTCTATGTACTCTAAAGTGTTATTCCAACATTACTTTATTTGTTTAAAATATTATAAAAAATCACTTTGATTTTAGTAAGAATTTTTTTTAGTTGAACTTATGCCATTTTTCAATTAAACTTCACTAACTAAATACATATGTCCTATATTATTTTCATATTATAAAATAAAGAAATTTAATTAGTGATTTGAAAACTAAATACCGTAGTATCATACGAGGCAAAGTCAACTATACATATTATGTCTTTTTCAGAAATTTCATTTAATTCTTCATTTAATTCTTAAATCAAAAAAATTTAGTTAGAATTCATATTATGTGAAATGAAAAATTATACTTGTATTCATCTAAATATTGTATGTGATAGAATACCAAAGAATACCTGCGAAATAATTGTAAGCTCAGTTAAAAATTTATGCATCACGCCATTTTTTATCTCAAAAAAGTAATTTTTCATTAAAAATATTAATTATTATGCACTTAAAAGTTATTTTATTATTAGAAACATTAAAAATTTTATGATTTATTTTCCTACTTTATATAGTAGGTTTTAAATCAAAATAATATTTACAATGTAATAAAATAATTATTTTAAATAGGACAAAAAAATTTGAAAGAGCAAAAAAAATGGCAAAAAAGGCCATAAAATTTGGATTAGTTTTATGAGTTTTGTGTGTGTTTTTAAATATTGCGCCAATTTTTAGAGTACAGCCATTAATAAATTAAATTGAAAATCACAAATTTTAAAAAATATGAAAATTTTTAATTTGTGGTGATATGCAACAAATGGTTCCCTGACATCTCATCATACGAGACATTTCATCATTGCAACATTTCATCATTGTAACAATTCATCATTATTGTATTTCATCACCATAACATTTCATCACTAAGATGCCTGTGATCTTAAGATCAAATGACCTAATTTCAAATTCCAAAATTATATGGTTTCTTACTGGATTAAATTGAACAGAACTAACAAGTAATATTTCACTTTAGAATTGAAATTTGGGATAAAGACCAGATTTATTCACAATATTTCCAGAATTATTTCACAATATTTGAATTTTAACTAGATTAAAAATGCAATATTTTTGGATATTTTAGGGTCACAAGGAATAAAAGCCAAATTTTCCAAAAAAAACAAGATGTAATTTAAATCTTTATTTAAAATATTTGAAAATTCTTTATTAATTGCGAGACAAAAAAAAAATTGCATAAGAACAATTACTTAATCAATCTAGAAATAAGCTATTCTAATTTGCGGAACGATAAAAATTTTCTATGATTTTTTTATGCGGTCATTAAAGCATTTTTTCAAAACGACTGTATATATATATTTTTATCAAAAATCATAAATAAATTAAATAATATTATATGAGGACTGTAAATTTGATAATGACTTTTCCTATCAACATATTAAAGACCAATGTCGTAAATATTCAATAATTTCTAGATATTTTCCATACAGGTAATAAAATATGAGCCATATAAATATTATCGTATTATAAACATATACAGTGAAACCTCGAAATTCGATCCCATAAATTTTTAATTTTTTATATTTGATGATTTTAACATTTATTGGACACTTTAATTCTAATTCTAATATGATTTCTAAATTTAATTTTAATATAATTTATGCAAATAATTGAAGGAACCTACTCCAAATTTATTTTAATATTAATTTTTTTGAAATCCGATAACTGCCCCCAATATGGCATTACAAAGTTAAAATAGTTTTTTGATTTATAAAAAATTCAGATGTAAAATGGCGGCGGATTATTTAAGTAAGATATAATTCAATTCAGTAAGATATATAATTCAAATTATTTAAAACAAAAAATTGATAACATATGAACGTGACAGGGCTAAGAAATGAAAATTCTAGCATAATTTAATTTATTTAGTCCAAAATAATTTTTCTATTAACAAAACCTATAATTCATCAAGTAAGAATGATTTTACTGTATTTTGTCGCACACAATCTTTTATCTGTAATTATTTGTAAAATTTTAATATTTATAATTTATGATACTATTTTTGAATATTATCTAATAATATATCAATTTAATTAAAATTAAAATATAGATGGTAATTACAAATAAAACTTCGACTGGAAAATTTAGTTAAAATTTATTGAAGAAACTCAAAAATTCTTATTCAAACAGATACTAACCATAGTATAGAAGTAGTGAAGTTGATGTAGATTAACAATACAAATATTTGAATATTAATGTTATATAGCTGAAATGAGTCACTAAAAAACTTCATAAAGATTACTCCCAAAATTCTTTAAGAACTCAAGTATTTCTGCGAAAATTCTTAAATACCATTAAAATTTGCTTAATGTAGTAAAATTCATTTCTTATCGTTTGCATATAAAGATATGGACAAAATAATATTATAATAATATTCTTATCAAATATAACATATCGAAACCTTATCAAAACTGTGAAATTAGTATTAATTTATGGTTCATTCACGAAATTCTGAAATTGATTAAGAAATCTTTTTATAAAATTGTATAGAATTTCATATCTGAAAATAGATGGTGTTAATCAATATGTGCGTGGAAAATAATGCTTAATAACGTTAACATGAGCAAATAATTTTTCGATAGAGTTAGGCTGCACGTCGGGCGCTATTAATTCTTATTAATTATTACAAAACCAATGCCTAATGGTTAAGCGGTTATTGCGCTGGTCTTTAACTGAAGGGTCTCCGGTTCAATGCCCAGTCAGATCACTATGAAAATTATATTCAATATTATTTAGCTTTATACACATTACATTGTAAAATTAAAAAATCAGTATTAACTAATTACCTTATTTCAATAATATCCAATATTTAAAAAAACTGACGGTAGGCTCGTCACCTACCGAGAGAACTGTAATATTACTGTAGGTGTACTAATGTAAGAAACTAATTCATGGTTATTTACAACATCAATTGCTTGCCACATGCTACTCCCTGGAGCGGTGAAGTAGGAGAAAAAAAAATATTACCACAAAATGTTATTAAGCCATTAATGATGACGTTTAAGAATGAGTTGTGTTATACAAAACTTAAGTGTATTTCCTTATTATTTGCTTTTTAAACAACAATTTAAATATGGATTCATGCAACTGAAGAATTCAAATGCTAACATGCCTAAACATAAAATAGATTTAAATAATTCTATTGTATGTTTTGACATGTAAGATAATGTTATAAACTCGCTCCCAGCGTCCACCGCAAATTTGAAGAAAATACTTCAGCGAAAAAGAAGCTAAAACCAATTATTACTTATTTATTTTTATTTGTATACAAGTACAACTGTTTGAATAAATCCAAATTTAAGTACTTTGAAATTGTTTTTTAGGTAAGTATGAATTAAATCAGCATATCGGCAGGCAAAATCGAAAAAGTCGCTTTTTTCACTTATCTAAATAAAAAATAATAAATGTTGTGTTTCTAAGTTAATTGGTAGCAGTGTTTTTTTGTTAAATCAATTAAAAGTGTGAAAAATTTAATTTCAACACAATTGAAAAATGTTTAAATACGAAGTGTTTAAATGGAATATTATAAAATTCGATTTATCGAAGATCCCAAAGCAGTTACCAGTCTCTCCAGGTCTAATCTTCAGAAATAGCAAAAATTTTAAAAAACTTTTAAAATTCGAGCAATCCAAAAATTTTAAAAATAGTAAAAGTTGTTTTTTATTGTTTCTTTGCTTTAATTTTTTCAGATGAAATATTTTCGCTTGTTGGCTATTATTTTGGCCTTGAATTTATTTTCCACGGTTAGGACTGCTCCATTAGAAAATGATGTAGAAAAAGTAGAGGAAAAAGAAGATTACAGATTACCAACAAATGTTGTACCAACAAACTATAATTTGACAATTAAACCATATATTCTTAGAGATGGTATAGAGAGGGAAAAATTCCAATTTGATGGATTTGTCAATATACTTTTAAAACCAATTGTAGACAATGTAGATAAAATTGCTTTACACAAAAAAAATATTACAATCATTAGTAGAACACTAGTTAAACAAGGTACGCCTGAAGAAAAAATCGATATTACTAATGACAATGACAATGCAAAAACCGATATATGGACTTTAACTTTGAAAGAACCTCTAGTAAAGGATCAACATTACATTTTGAGAATAAATTATACTGGTTATATGGGAGATGATATGAAAGGTTTTTACAAAAGTAGTTATAAGAAAAAGAATGGCGAGATTATGTAAGTTAAAAATAACGAATACAGAAAAATTGTTTATTTCTTTTATCAATTTCAAAATTTTTAGATGGATTGGTGCAACGCAGTTCCAAACCCACCACGCTAGACGGGCATTTCCTTGCTTCGATGAACCAGGATTCAAGGCAACTTTTGATATTCATATTAATCATGAAAAGGAGTTCACAAAAGTTATCAGTAATACAAAACAAGTAGGCGACCCAAAAAATGATGGGTAAGTTCAAAATATTGAAGCTCAACTCTAAAAAAATAAACACACACTTTAAAACTTGAACTTGTTTCTTAAGTTTATAAAACTTGAAAAGGTCAAGTATTATATACCATTATTGAGATTATAGAATACATTCTCCATTATAATTTATTTGTTTTATTTCTTTTTTCAAATATTTCAAAAGATCAACTTATTGAACATTTTTTAATAAATTTCAGAGATGACCGGAAAATTGTAACCTTTTCTACAACACCCAAAATGTCTACTTATCTTGTCGCTTTCCTCGTATCAGACTTTATAGAAAATGGTGATTCCAACGATCTTTCAATTGTTGCACGTCCCGAATATGAATCCCAAACACAATACAGCTTACAAGCAGGGAAAACCTTGTTAAAAACGTTAGGAGATTATTTTGAATTACCATACAAAGATCTTGGTAATCCAAAAATGCATATGGCAGCAATTCCAGATTTTTCGGCCGGTGCAATGGAAAATTGGGGTCTTCTTACATATAGGTATTACATTTTCTGTAACATTTTTTTTTAATTTGAACCAATTTTAACTTTCTTTTTGTTTAGAGAGCGTGCTCTATTGAATGATGACAAAGAAACCACAGACATGGGTCAGCAAAGCATTTCTCTAATAATTGCACATGAGCAAACACATATGTGGTTTGGTGATTATGTTACATGTGATTGGTGGAACCATACTTGGTTGAATGAAGGGTTTGCTACATATTTCCAATATTTCGGCTCTGCTAAGGTGATTTTTTATTGTATTTTTTATTGTATTCCTTTTATTTGCGTAATGGGAAAATATATCTCGTTAATTTACTGCTAAATTAAACTTTTAGGAATATCCAAAATGGGATTTGGACAAGCAATTTGTTGTCGATCAAGTTCATACCGTTTTGCCTAGAGATTCGTTGAGTGATACGCATGCAATGAGTGATAAAAACATAAATTCTCCAACAGATTTAGGTAAAATGTTCGGTTCTATTTCATACAACAAAGGCGCATCAATAATTCGTATGATTAGATACTCCATGGGTGAAGAAAAATTCCAGAAAGCTATTAGGAAATATTTAAAAGACAAGTAATTTATTTTATTTCATTATCGAATTAATTTTCTGTAATACGAAATTAACTATAACTCTCAATTTAAGTAAGGAAGGTAGTTCTAGACCAGCGTTGTTATTCAAAGCTTTTGATAGTGAATGGAAACCTGAAAACTTAAACACAACTGAATTTTATTTATCTTGGACTGAACAAGTTGGATATCCTATTATAAAAGTTAAGCTCTCTGAAGACCGTAAAAAAATTGAAATTGAACAGCAAAGATTCCTGTTAGAAGATGATGCTGGAAATGAAGATCTTATATATTATGTACCATTTACATACACAACACAAAAGAATCCGAAATTTGGAACACCTAATCCAGGAGACATACAATTTTTCAACAAAAATTCTACGACATTTTCGGTATCCGAGGAATTAGGTGAATCAGATTATGTTATTGCAAACATTGAACAAATGGGGTATTTCCGAGTTTGGTATGAAGATCATATGTTACACAACATTCATCATGCTTTAACAACTGAAAATTTCGGTAAAATTGGTGAAATAAATCGCGCACATTTGATTGACGATCTATTCAATTTTGGACGTGCTGGTACTATGAAATACGACTTGATATTTGATGTCTTGTCTTACCTTGAAAAGGAAAAACATTACATACCATGGAAAGCAGCTTTTAGTGGATTTAAAAATATTGAAGCAAGATTAGGTAAAGAAAACGATGATCTAAAAAAAAGGCTGCATATGGCCCTACCGGCAGTTTATGATCATTTGACATTTAATCAAACAAATGATGAATCAAGGCTTGATACTTATAATAGAGCAAACGTTTTAAGTTGGGCATGTAAATATGACTTTAAAGATTGTAATGAAAACTCAATGAAATTATTTGACGATTTTAAAAAAGATAAAAAAAACGCTATTAATAAAAACATTCGTTCTGTTGTTTATTGTTCTGCCGTAAGAACAGCTGAAAATCTAACAAATTATAACTACTTAAAAGATCATTTTATTTCAACTGAAACATCAACTGAGCAAACGCTAGTATTAAATGCATTAGGTTGCGTTAAAAAACAAGAACATATTAAAGCACATTATGATTTTATACTATCCGATGCTGTACGTAAACAAGATAGACAAGCCGCCTTAAATGCACTGATTGCTGAAAATCCAGAAAGCCCACAACATGTATTTGATTTAATTGTAAATGAACATGGAAAATTAGGAGAAGCGTATGTATAATTAATGATTTTAGATTTATATAAATTAATATTTATTTATTTAATATGAAAAAGCTGTTAATCAGCAGTCATTTGCATTTATAAATTGATTTTCTTCGATTACGGAATTCGATAATCGAAAATAGAATTTGCTATTACATTGACAAATTAAATACCAAAACTGACTTAAATTATACAATTCTTTTTAGCCTTGGAGGATATGAAACTGATGTAGCTAATGTTGTGTTAAATATAGCATCACATTTCAATTCAGAAGAGCAAAAGAAATCAATAGAAAAATTCAGTGAAAAATTGACCCAAGAAGCACCTAAAAACACATTGAAAGATGCCGTAAAAAGAGTTGAAAAGAATATGAGCTGGTTGGATAAATATAAAGCAGATTTAGTAAAAGGTCTAAGAGGTGGTGCAGCAGCTATAACATTTAGTGCAGTATTAATAGCATTTACAACAATTTTAATGTATTTAAGTACATATTAAAAATTTTAATATCAGTTCTTCTAAAAAATTACTTATAACTGTTTTTTACTGTGCATATCGATCTGTTAGAATAATTGTGCTAATATGATTAATAATATTAATATTAATTAAATAAAAGATAGCTTTACACTTTTGTGGTTATAATAAAATAATTTTATACTGAAAACACTTTAATTCATTTGCTGTAAATGCATCCTTTCGAATTTCATTTTAAAGTTTCTTATACGAAAATTAGCTCGCTGCATCTAATTAACATTTACGTTCGACGTGGTTGTAGAGTATTGCACAGTCTTGCAATTAAAATTACAATATAAATACGCACGTATTTACTGTAAATGTATCGTAGAACCTTTTTTGTGTAATGTTTCGTATAAACAAATGCTTTGCATGAAGTTTGTAGATTATTTGTACAACTGCTAATAGGAAATTTCTATTTTGAATTGATTTCTATTTTTCTGTTTCTATTTTTGAAGTGATTTTGAAATTTCGTCTTTTCATCTTAAACCAGTAATCAACTTGCAGTAGGCAAGAATAATTATATTAGTTGATAGTGCTAATGTACTTACTTCTATTACCTAATTAAATTAGAAAGGAATTAATTAAATCAACACTTAGGAATTTTAATTTTTGTCTCAAGTTCAATTCTATGCTATTTTAAAATATAATTTGACTCCTCATTTAAATCATGTGCAACTAAACAAATAGTATTGTTAACAGCATTAAATATAATTACCAAACTTGCTTGCAATATTGAAATTAATAACACAATTATAGCTAATTTAAATTGCTATAATTTATAAAAGCACGGATAAACTACGTTTATTTTAATAATTTACATTTAATTATTTCACTTATTCACAGCTGCAATAAATAAAAATTATTTTAAATATTAATATTTTATTTCATTGGCAAAATCTAAAAAAATCTCTCCAAAAAATTATGTAAAACTTCAAATTTTTACCATTTTTTTTGTGGATTCTTTTCAGATGAAAGATTTTCGCTTACTGGGCATTATTTTGCTCTTAAATTTATTCTACACAATTAGAACTGCTCCATTAGAAAATGAAATAGAAAATGTAGACGAAAAAGAAGAGTACAGATTACCAACAAATGTTGTACCAACAAACTATAATTTGACAATTAAACCATATATTCTTAGAGATGGTATAGAGAGGGAAAAATTCCAATTTGATGGATTTGTCAATATACTTTTAAAACCAATTGTAGACAATGTAGATAAAATTGCTTTACACAAAAAAAATATTACAATCATTAGTAGAACACTAGTTAAACAAGGTACGCCTGAAGAAAAAATCGATATTACTAATGACAATGACAATGCAAAAACCGATATATGGACTTTAACTTTGAAAGAACCTCTAGTAAAGGATCAACATTACATTTTGAGAATAAATTATACTGGTTATATGGGAGATGATATGAAAGGTTTTTACAAAAGTAGTTATAAGAAAAAGAATGGCGAGATTATGTAAGTTAAAAATAACGAATACAGAAAAATTGTTTATTTCTTTTATCAATTTCAAAATTTTTAGATGGATTGGTGCAACGCAGTTCCAAACTCATTATGCTAGGCAAGCATTCCCATGTTTTGATGAACCAGGATTCAAAGCAACTTTTGATATTCATATTAATCATGAAAAGGAGTTCACAAAAGTTATCAGTAATACAAAACAAGTAGGTGACCCAAAAAATGATGGGTAAGTTCAAAATATTGAAGCTCAACTCTAAAAAAATAAACACACACTTTAAAACTTGAACTTGTTTCTTAAGTTTATAAGACTTGAAAAGGTCAAGTATTATATACCATTATTGAGATTATGGAATACATTCTCCATTATAATTTATTTGTTTTATTTCTTTTTTCAAATATTTCTTAAAAGATCAACTTATTGAACATATTTTAATAAATTTCAGAGATGACCGGAAAATTGTAACCTTTTCTACAACACCCAAAATGTCTACTTATCTTGTCGCTTTCCTCGTATCAGACTTTATAGAAAATGGTGATTCCAACGATCTTTCAATTGTTGCACGTCCCGAATATGAATCCCAAACACAATACAGCTTACAAGCAGGGAAAACCTTGTTAAAAACGTTAGGAGATTATTTTGAATTACCATACAAAGATCTTGGTAATCCAAAAATGCATATGGCAGCAATTCCAGATTTTTCGGCCGGTGCAATGGAAAATTGGGGTCTTCTTACATATAGGTATTACATTTTCTGTAACATTTTTTTTAATTTGAACCAATTTTAACTTTCTTTTTGTTTAGAGAGCGTGCTCTATTGAATGATGATAAAGAAACAACAGACATTGCCCAACAAAGAATATCTTTAGTTATTGCACATGAGCAAACACATATGTGGTTTGGTGATTATGTTACATGCGATTGGTGGAACCATACTTGGTTAAATGAAGGTTTCGCTAGGTATTTTCAATACTTTGCTTCCGCTAAGGTAATTATTTTACCTCTTTTGAATATGGAAATGAATTTATTGATAAATTAAAATTTTAGGAATATCCAAAATGGGATTTGGACAAACAATTTGTTGTCGATAATGTTCACACTGTTTTGCCTAGAGATTCGTTGAGTGATACGCATGCAATGAGTGATAAAAACATTAATTCCCAAACAGAAATACGTAAAATGTTCGGCACAATTTCGTATAACAAAGGCTCATCAATAATTCGTATGATTAGATACTCCATGGGTGAAGAAAAATTCCAGAAAGCTATTAGGAAATATTTAAAAGACAAGTAATTTATTTTATTTCATTATCGAATTAATTTTCTGTAATACGAAATTAACTATAACTCTCAATTTAAGTAAGGAAGGTAGTTCTAGACCAGCGTTGTTATTCAAAGCTTTTGATAGTGAATGGAAACCTGAAAACTTAAACACAACTGAATTTTATTTATCTTGGACTGAACAAGTTGGATATCCTATTATAAAAGTTAAGCTCTCTGAAGACCGTAAAAAAATTGAAATTGAACAGCAAAGATTCCTGTTAGAAGATGATGCTGGAAATGAAGATCTTATATATTATGTACCATTTACATACACAACACAAAAGAATCCGAAATTTGGAACACCTAATCCAGGAGACATACAATTTTTCAACAAAAATTCTACGACATTTTCGGTATCCGAGGAATTAGGTGAATCAGATTATGTTATTGCAAACATTGAACAAATGGGGTATTTCCGAGTTTGGTATGAAGATCATATGTTACACAACATTCATCATGCTTTAACAACTGAAAATTTCGGTAAAATTGGTGAAATAAATCGCGCACATTTGATTGACGATCTATTCAATTTTGGACGTGCTGGTACTATGAAATACGACTTGATATTTGATATCTTGTCTTACCTTGAAAAGGAAAAACATTACATACCATGGACAGCAGCTTTTAGTGGGTTTAAAAATATTGAAGCAAGATTAGGTAAAGAAAACGATGATCTAAAAAAAAGGCTGCATATGGCCCTACCGGCAGTTTATGATCATTTGACATTTAATCAAACAAATGATGAATCAAGGCTTGATACTTATAATAGAGCAAACGTTTTAAGTTGGGCATGTAAATATGACTTTAAAGATTGTAATGAAAACTCAATGAAATTATTTGACGATTTTAAAAAAGATAAAAAAAACGCTATTAATAAAAACATTCGTTCTGTTGTTTATTGTTCTGCCGTAAGAACAGCTGAAAATCTAACAAATTATAACTACTTAAAAGATCATTTTATTTCAACTGAAACATCAACTGAGCAAACGCTAGTATTAAATGCATTAGGTTGCGTTAAAAAACAAGAACATATTAAAGCACATTATGATTTTATACTATCCGATGCTGTACGTAAACAAGATAGACAAGCCGCCTTAAATGCACTGATTGCTGAAAATCCAGAAAGCCCACAACATGTATTTGATTTAATTGTAAATGAACATGGAAAATTAGGAGAAGCGTATGTATAATTAATGATTTTAGATTTATATAAATTAATATTTATTTATTTAATATGAAAAAGCTGTTAATCAGCAGTCATTTGCATTTATAAATTGATTTTCTTCGATTACGGAATTCGATAATCGAAAATAGAATTTGCTATTACATTGACAAATTAAATACCAAAACTGACTTAAATTATACAATTCTTTTTAGCCTTGGAGGATATGAAACTGATGTAGCTAATGTTGTGTTAAATATAGCATCACATTTCAATTCAGAAGAGCAAAAGAAATCAATAGAAAAATTCAGTGAAAAATTGACCCAAGAAGCACCTAAAAACACATTGAAAGATGCCGTAAAAAGAGTTGAAAAGAATATGAGCTGGTTGGATAAATATAAAGCAGATTTAATAAAAGGTCTAAGAGGTGGTGCAGCAGCTATAACATTTAGTGCAGTATTAATAGCATTTACAACAATTTTAATGTATTTAAGTACATATTAAAATTTTAATATGAGTTCTTCTAAAAAATTACTAATAACTGTTTTTCACTGTGTATCTGTAAGAATAATTGATTAATAATATTGTTCATTGACGTTAATAGTAATTATATAGAAAAAGATAACTCGATAGTTTTGTGACAATAAAAATATATACATAAATAATTTCATACAGAAAATATTTTTTTTTATTACATAATTTGGAGTCATATGAAATTTTTGGTAAAATCACTTTTAATTTCCTTATTTGAAATAATTATGTTGGCTGCTATATTATGTACATACTTCTACTATGAATGTATGAAGGTACAATTTTAAAATTCAAACTATAAAAATTTAAGCTAGCATCTCATTTACTTTCTAAGTAGTCCTTGAAAAGACTTGTTACCAAAGTAAAATTGAAGTAAGTTGCCAAATTTGTATTGGTCTAAATATTAGAAATATTTACCAAATTCGAATCATTGTTTTATTTTTAAACCAACAAGAGTATTACCGCTATATAAAATATTAAAACAATATTGTTACCGACTGCATTGCGTATACAATAAGGTAGGTTATGTAATGACAACAAATTTTACATATCGAGTTTTCACTGGGAACGCACTTCTCTATGGTAGGGCAGTGTAAATAAACTATTTTTAGCAACCTGTCGCTCTGTCTGTCTGTGTGTGCACACGTTTTGACTATGTCGCGGATTGATTAGCTTTTCGGGATATATCGGGCCTTGAAAACTGGTCTTTTTTGCGGGCCAATTTTAGATTTTTGCCCATATAAATAGAAATATTTAACCAATTTCCTGGAAATTTTTCGAGTATTAAAAAAATTAACATTTACATTTTTTGGAACGATCAGAGCTCGGAAACCGAACTAGGGGCCGAATTCACATTTTTTACCATATCTACGGAACGAATTGATGAAATTTCTTGAAATTTGATATTTGTTATTTTTCTGGTTGTTACCGAAACTAACTGGCGAGCATTTCAAGGAATTCGGGTAGCACAAAGCAAAACTCCACTAAGAGCCAAATTTAAATTTTTCTAGGTATGTTAACTATAAGCTTACTGATGTCCTAAAAATTGGAATGAAGTATTTAACAGACGTTTTTATAATATTCTGTAACACTTTCACTTAACTAGACAATACACATTGCGGTCGGTTATGTGCTAACCAATTCAAATTTTTTATTATATCCTAATATCCCATATTTTATTGAATAAATAAAGCAGAGTAATTTTACACTTTTAAAGTGCCCTTAATTAGTACTCCATAACAAATTTATGAAATGTAAACACAAAAGTAGTATATTAATTATTTATATGATCTCACACATACAAAAAAGTTTTCTACATAATACACATATTATATTAATACACAGAGTGACCCTGTTCTTATGTAAACGCGCTCGGGCAGTGGTCCCTTGCAGTTTTTTAGAAACAAAAAAAATGTATGAGGGGATCTTCAACGTCTAGGGGTAATTTAGGAGAGTTGAAAAAAGGCTCGGATAAAAAAAATTGTATCTCGCGAATATCAATTTCAGCTTCGAAGCTGTTGAAGTTACAGCAATAAATTATTCAGAAACTTTTTCTTCAATATATTATTTTACCTACACAGCAGTACGCCAATAGTTGGTCGCTGACTTACCGTTTTCGAGTTATAGTCATACATAAAATTTTTGGTTATATCTATATGTCTATAATTTTTTTCAAAAAACACTATACTTATTTCAAAAATGTTCGTTATTTTGCTTTTTTTTGTTTTTGTTTCGATCTCTCTACATCATCCTCTACAACTTTGTAATACATAAATGGTAAAGGGATAATTTTGTAAGTGATGTTTGTGGACACCTATAAAAAGGGTACTATATATCAAAGAAAAATACAAGTACAAGAAATGTTGTAAAAAATATTATTTTATCTGTCATTAAAAAAAAAATTAAAATTTAAAAACATGTATAACAATAACTTACAATAGCTGCTCCAAATAGCTTCCATCCGCATGAATGCAAGATAAGAGATGTTTACTTATTACTGCTGTTGTATTAAAAGTTTGCAATTCATATATACAAAAAAATCCATAAATGTAAAATCTGACGATCTTGCATGCCATGCCCGTTTCGAGCAATTCAACTTTTAGGGAATTGGTTATTCAAAACATCTGTAGAATTGTTCTATCTTCTTATATTGTTCTAAAATTCATTCACCTTGTGATAAAACAAGATCTTCTTATAAAAAAGGGAGTTGATCTTTTTTTTTTTACCGGGTGAAAAATCTCGAAAAACGTAGTTGATCTTGCAAGAATAAATGGTATATTAGCAGATTTCTGTTTATTTTTTTATTGCAGATATCCAAAAACACTGCTTGCATGATCACTTATACCTGATAAACGGTTTCAGATAATTAACGTTTTTTCGGATTTTTAAACCAAAATTTTATGTTTGAACTATAAAACTAACGTGCGCGATTACAACAGATTCGGACAACCCTGTATAAGATAAAATTAAAAGCATTATAATAAGTATATGAGCAGATATATGAAAATATTACTGATTAGATATACCTACCTAAACATTATAAATCTTATGATTATTTAAAAAAGTTTCACACTTTGAAAATTTATTATATATAAGTACTTATGTCTGTACGTTTTATAAATATATATAAAATTCATTTATATAAACAGCAATTTTCTTAAAAATTTTCTCAGTTAATCATTCAAATCGGATGTGTTTACATACAAACAAAATTTGTTGATAATAATCAAGCGGTTCGCGCGGCCTCGCATTGTAAAATATTATTATTACATTAGAACAATGCATTCGAAATTACAATTATTTATAATTTTTAGCACAGTATACCTGTTCGAATTTTCATTATCACATCAAACTCTACAAAATGATTTCTTTAAAGAAGAAATGACTACACATCGATTAAAAGGATTAATAGAACCAATACATTATAATATTAATTTAACGGTTTATATGACAGATGAACTAAAACAATTTACTTATTACGGTCGTGTCTCAATATTATTTAAAACATTTTTAAGTAATATTAATGAAATTATATTACACAAAAGTGATTCAATTAGAAATATGTCAGAAATAATATTTGAAAATTGTTATACTAAAGAACATTTTCAAATAAGTGAAATTAAAATTAATAACGCTACAGAAAAATATGGTATTGTGTTAGATAAATCAATGCAACCGGGTATCATATATAATTTAACAATAGAATTTAAGAATAATTTATCAAATGATATGATAGGATTTTATAAAAGTAGTTATAAAGATGAAAATGGAAATAAAAAGTAATAGCATGAATTTAGATTTAAAAAATTAAAAAGAAATATGAGCTTTTATCTTTCAGATGGCTTGCAACCACACAATTTAATGATAAACATGCAAGGAAAGCATTCCCATGTTTTGATGAACCAAAATTTAAAGCAACTTTTAATATAACATTGAATCATGAGAAACAATTTAGTGCCAGAAGTAACACAAGATTGTCAAACACAATTATATATGGGTAAACAACACTTATGTTATTTAGTGAATTCTATATACATATATATTTCGTGATTTTGAAATGAAATTAAACTATAGACTACAAAAACTAGTTAGTAAGCTTACTTAATATGGCAACATAGACTACAAAAAATAGTTAGCAATCTTACCATAAAGTTGTTATCAAATAGTTACAAATCTAATTATTATGAGTTAGGCCGTATTACGCAAGATTTGTTTTAAAAAAATTGAAGACCATATTAATTTCAGTTCGTTTCTCTGATATTTTTTGTAAACAAACTTCTGAAAATATTATATTTGCATTCTAGGTTTCAATATTAGAATTTATGTTGATATTATAGTAGTATAAAGTATTAAAACAATAACAATAAATATTAAATAAAAATAAAATTTAAGCTGCCATTCTCTAACAAAATTGTAAATTGTCTATCTGTAAATTGTCTAAAATATCATATAATAATCGTATTCCACAATATCTTTATTGACTATGATTAGTTGATAATAAAAATTCAGTTTTGCTTTCTAACCCTAATACGATCAAAATTTAGAAAATTCAATACTTTCTCAACACTTTTTTTAATTGATAAAAAGTTAACTTTTACCAAATTATAAGGGGTCTGTTGAGACCAAATAACAACACGCAACAATTTAGGACACAAATTACGATATCCGAGCAAAATTCAATTTTAATTTAATTAACTCAGCTTAAATTAGAATTAACGACTTTATTTCTTCGATCTATTGCTCAATAATGAACATCGAAAAGTTGAATTGATTAAATTGTAGTAATACGTATTTGATCAGCCATTACGATTGTAATACCTCAAATCAGTAGGCCTACAGATCAGAGTAACCGAACGAACACTCAAAGTAAAAAACGAGAACGTCTTTTAAGTAGTCTGAATAAGAGAAATATTGATGACATAGTAAAGTGACCAAACATAACACCAAAAGTTTTTTGCGGTGAGGTGAGACTGACGAATAACAGAATTTTGTTTGAAGGTTTCTCCCTCTGCTTTTCGGATTCTCTTCTTAAGCATTCCATTATTTCAAAATAAATTAAAAAAAAATTTGATGTGGTCAGCACATAACCGACCGCATTGTATATTGCCTAATTAAGTGAAAGTGTTACAGAATATTATAAAAATGTCTGTTAAATACTTCTTTCCAATTTTTAGGACATTAGTAAGCTTATAGTTAACATACTTGAAAAATGTAAATTTGGCTCTTAGTAGAGTTTCACTTTGTGCTACCCGAATTTCCTGAAATGCTCGCCAGTTAGTTTCGGTAACAACCAGAACTCAAATATCAAATTTCAAGGAATTCCATCAATTTGTTCTGTGGATATGGTGAAAAATGTAAAATCGGCCCGCAAATCCGTTCTCGAGCCCTTATCTTTCCAAAAAAGTTATATGTTCATTGCTTTAATATGAGGAATTCATATATTTAATTTCAATAAAATCGGTTGATTATTTCTCTTTATATACACAAAAGTGTATGTTTGGCCCGTTGTAAACGTCTAGTTGCCGATGCCTGATTTTTCCAAAAAATTTACATGTTCATTGTTTTAATACGGGGAATTCATATATTAAATTTCAATGAAATCGGTTGATTATTTCTCTTTATATACACAAAAATGTATATTTGGCCCGTAGTAAACGCCCAGTTGCTGATGCCTGATTTCTTCCAAAAGTTAGGAATTTTTGCGTATGATCGAGCAAAGCTTATATATGAAATTTCAAGTAAATCGGTTGAATACTTTCTTCAAAATGGTGAAAAATGTAAAATCGGCCCGCAAATCCCTTTTCGAGCCCTGATCTTTCCAAAAAATTTATATGTTCATTGTTTTAATACGAGGAATTCATATATTAAATTTCAATGAAATCGGTTGATTATTTCTCTTTATATACACAAAAATGTATATTTGGCCCGTAGTAAACGTCTAGTTGCCGATGCCTGATTTCCTCCAAAACATACGAATTATTGCGGATGGTCGAGCTGAGCTTATATATAAAATTTCAAGTAAATCGGTTGAATATTTTCTTCAAAATGTTCAAAAATGTAAAACAGGCCCGCTAAAAAGTGCAGTTCCCGAGGCCTGATATATACCAAAAGTTGATCGATCCGTGCTATGGTGGAAACAAACTTACATATAAAATTTCATCAAAATCGGTTCAGCCGAACTTGAGATACACGCGTGCACACACAGACCGACAGACGGACAGACCGACAGACCGACAGACCGACAGACCGACAGACCGACAGGTTGCTAAAAATAGTTTATTTACACTTCCCTACTATGGAGAAGTACGTTCCCACTGAAAACTCGATATGCAAAATTTGTTGCCATCACATAACCTACCTATTGTTTACACAATACGGTCGGTAAAAAAAAAAGAAAGTGTTAAATTCAGTAAATGTGTAGTTGTAAGCACCCGGAATAATATAAGTTTAACAAGTACGTGACTTTTATTATTAAATAAATTTTAATATTTTGAAAATATAGAATTTAAAAATTTTGTTATTCTGTTATACATTCCAATGTGTAGCATGGCTTGTCTCGACGGAAACTCTTTATTTCATTTTAGTAGAGAAAATAATAATAGTTATACCTTGAAAATTATATATACAATGAACTATATTAATAAAAAGTGGTTCTGATAAAATTATCAACGCTAGCGATAACGGTAGCCCAGTTTCTCTTAACTATGTTTGTGTTTATTTGAGACTTAATTGCTCTTATCACAACGAAACAAATTACTTGCGTTTTTAATTTACATTTTATTTTATTTTTGTAATCAAATTACCTTTTTGAGCATCTTATTGCATTTCGTATCTTATTAATCTCAAGGTCAATGTTCAACATTATTCATTCTTAATAGTTCTAATAATGTTTGACGAAATGCGTGTAGGTTTATAGACCTCCACTAAACGAAGACATTTAAATCAATTGTAATTGCACCAATTCTCTAGTGAAATTGTAATGTAATCAGACACCCGGTTACAACAGCACAAATATTCGGCATAAACAGTGAAGTACTTATTGTGTAATTGAGACAAAACACTTATATCTTACTTTATATGCGGCTATTGAAAAAAATTAATACACTATAATAATATCAAAAATAAATTTTAAAAAAACCTTTAGGGCGTTAAGTAGACTATTTGATTTGAATAATTTAACAAATGTACTCGTTTAAAAATTAAAAAACTTTTAAGCTTTTGGGGCCAATTTTATTTCTTACTAATTTTATTGGCACTTCTTCATATTATATATTATTCCAGATCCCGTGCAGATGATACTTTTGAAATAACTCCAAAAATGTCAACTTATCTGGTAGTATTTTTAATATCAGAATACGCCGATAAAAGCTTTGATAATCACTTAACAGTTTTAGCTCCAATTCATATTTTGGATTATTCTAAATATGCTTTGGAAACGGGATCAAAATCTTTGAAAGCATTAAATGAATATTTTCAAATAGATTATGACGAATTAGGTATTGATAAAATGGATATGGCCGCCATACCAGATTTTGCAGCTGGAGCAATGGAAAATTGGGGTCTCTTGTTGTTTAAGTATATGAAATCATTGCAAATCTTTTGCGGTAAAGTTAAATACAATATTTTTTTTTCTTTCAAAGAGAGAAGTATTTTCTCTACGACGAAAACACAACTTCAGAATTAGATAAACAACGAATTGCAACTGTAATAGCACATGAACAAAGTCATATGTGGTTTGGAAATTTGATAACATTGGAATGGTGGAATCATCTGTGGGTGAATGAAGGTTTTGCAAGATTTTTTGAATATTTTATACCTCATACGGTAAGTGAAAAGTTCCCAAATACTTTGAAACTTACTGCTGTTACAAATTAATAAGATCATATTTCATATAGATAAATTCTGATTGGGAATTGAATAAATTGTTTGTTTTTGAGCAAATTCATAGTTCATTACTAATCGATTCACTTGAAGGAACGGGACCTATGACGATTCATGAATCAGATACATTACCATATAATCCACCACCCGCATACACAGTTGTTTCTTATAATAAAGGTGCATCCATTCTTAGAATGTTTCAATATTGTATGGGAAAAGAAAATTTCAGGAATGCTATGCAGAACTTATTAATAGAAAAGTTTGTCATTAAATTTTAAGTCAAGAAAATTTTTAAAAATTTTGTTTTTTTTTTGAGGAAATTTCAATACGCAACACCAGAAGACGTTTTAATAAGATTTCGAAATAAATGGATTCATAAAGATGTAAATTTTATGCAGTTTTTCTCGGAATGGACAGAGCAACCTGGGTACCCAGTTCTACAAATTGATTTATTAGGTGATAAAAAAACAATTGAAATAAAACAAAAGCGGTTTATTTTGGAAGGAAACGCAACCAGCCCGGAACTTAACCCGAACCTACTATATACGATTCCTATAACATTTACAACAAATGTTATGAAAAATTTCACAATTCCAAAAGAAGAAAATATAATTTTTATGAAATCATCTGAGTCGGTAAAGAAAATTTTGATTTCTGAGCAACCAATTAATTGGATTATACTAAACATTCAACAATTGGGCTTTTATCGTGTAAATTATGATGAAAAAACCTGGTTAAACTTAAAAGAAGCCCTGAGTAAATCAATATCTGACATAAATGAAATCAACAGGGCTAATTTAATTGATGATCTATTTAATTTTGCAAGATCAGGTTTATTAAAATATCAATTTGTATTCAAAATTTTAGAATATCTTAAAGTAGAAACTGAATATATACCATTATCAGCAGCATTAAATGGTTTTCATTTTTTAAAAATCAGATTGGGTCAAGAATATGAAAAAGAATTTAATGAATTTCTTGTAAATATTTTAAGCAAAGCTTACAATGAAAATGGTCTTGAAGAAAAATCTAACGATGAATTATTAAAAATTTATAATAGAAGCAAAATTTTAAAATGGATTTGTAAATTTGGACACAGTGATTGCATTAAAAAATCATTAGAATTATTTGAAAGTGAAATGAAGCAGAAGAAAAAAATTCCAAAAAATATTCGAAATGCCATTTATTGTACTGCTTTGGGAAATTCATTCGATAATGAAGCCAACATAACTTTTGAATATACAAAAGAAGTTTATAAAAATATGAAAAATCCAACAGATCAACAATCACTTCTCGCTATTTTAGGATGTGTAAGCTCAGAAAGTAATATCAAACAACATTTCGATTTCATCTTATCAGAAGATGTAAGATTACAAGATAAAATGTTTGCACTTAATTCATTAATTTCTGAAAATGTCAATAAAATTGAGTACATCCTAAATTTAATTGGTTCAAATTTGGATGTATTGGGGAAATCGTAAGTATATATGCTTACACAAAATTCGTATATAAAAAATTTTTGAATTTCATTCGTAATATTTTGGGTTTTTTTTCGAAATTTTAGATTTGGTGGAGGAGAAAATTCAGTTATAGGTGTTATATCAAATTTAGCTCAATATTTTACAGAAGATAACCAAATTACACTAATGAAAGATTTTATAAATAAATCATCATACTTTACTGAATCAGGTCGAAAATCATTTAACAAAATAGTGGATAAAGTAATTAAAAATGTACAGTGGAAGAAAGATCATAAGGATGATTTGGAAAAAGCTTTACACGGTACTGGAAACAAGCATGTCAATAACTCTATATTGTTAATATTATTAGGAATATTTTTATATTATATAATTTATTAAATTTTCTTTAGAAATAAGGTAAATGAGGAATTTTTATAATTATCTATAATTCGTAAACTGATTTTTTAATTTTGATAATTAAAATATACTAGAACACCATAGGTATTTGTGTAAGATATATCGAAAATTTTAAAAGAGCTAAGCAATTAATTTCATTTTCTTGTTAACAAAAAGTATTAATTTACAGTAATCCTTATGTATTTACATATAAAATTGCTTTTAAAGCTTACTGTTTTAAAATTAAAATTTCAAAGGATCCGCACAATTTAAAAAATATATAAGAAATCCAAATACAAACAATTTAAAATTTATTAAATTCATAAACTTTTTACTTTTATAATATTAAATTGAGTGTTAAGAAGCTTTATAGTGTATAAGAATGACATTATAAATGTTATGTGCACCATTAATTTAGGACTACGTGCTTCTTATCAAATATTTTCTTATTTATTTTTACATACGTGCATAAATACAAAATTATGAAAGAATACCAGCTTTTCTAAAATGATTATTTAATGGCCCCTCATCACCACTATAACCAGCTAATTCTTGTGGTACAATTCCAGACTCTTCAATTGATGAACATGGGCGACACATACACTCTAGGGGGGCCTTTGTAAGAACCTGTAAAACAGAAAAAAAAGTAAAACAAAAAATAATGTTTTTATTATAACGAATAGGGTTTATTAAGTTTACAAAAATATTTCTAACATCAAAAATCAATCACGAGGATATAACAAAGAAATAAACAAAATAAAAAGTAGTACAAAAATATGTATGTATGCATGTATATACGTGCAAGATTTAGCAAAAGTATATCGGTATTAAAACCAGTTGATTTTTATGCGATTTTAAATATTGGGGAAACACTTATAAGTTAAATATGAGAAAATGAGTCAAAATAAGGTTTAACACTTCATTAAATAATCGCAACTTAATACAATACTTTTTAAAGTAGACCCAAGTTGATGAAGCACAGTGAACAATTCCATTACAAATTTCGTAATGGAATGGTGGTGGTAAATTTAATTAATGCTTAATATTTCATTGTTCGGATCAATGACAAAAATTGCATTCTCGTGTAAATAAACATAAATTCCGACGATATAGGGACTTTTGCCGTCTTTTAGACGATATAAGAATAGCCAGTACCCACTTTCTTTCATTTAACATAATATTTTAATTAAAAAAACTAACAGCAGCTTAACTTAAAAATTTCCAATTTTTTTTAATAACTTTAAAATTACCTTACGAAATTTTCTTTCGCCAGGACGTGCTTTTGGACAAAATAGTGATACCAAAGCTTCTCGTTCACCAGATTCTTGACAACACATACAAGATCGTTCCATCTGCCATATTTTGCTACCCGAAACCTGTTATTATATAAATTGAATTTAATTTCATACACAGTCATTTTTTATATTAAAAAATGTGAAAAATTTCAAAATGCAGAGAAAATTTCACACCAATAAAAATTAAATAGAAGAAAATGCTAGCCGAATTCTTAACTTACTTGTATATAACTAGCACACCGACCGATACAGGCATATGAAGGTATTGGTTTCGGTACACATCCAGGATATTGTAGAACATGTATAACCGGCGTCACTTGACAATCATCTATCGATCGAGGAATATCTTATAAATTAAAAATAGTTTTCAAATAAAAAAAAGTATATGCTTTTTTTTTCTTATAGATTTAATATAGATGATAGTTTTTAGATATAGATATAGATAGTTTTATTGTACCATTTGGTGAATCTTGAGCTTTAACTTTTGGTGCTAATAAAATTGCTCCACTGCAAGCACACGATATAATCCACAATAAAATATTCATGATTATATTACAAAAATTTTAAATTTTTTTTCAATTAAAAAAAAAATTAGTTGTTCTATTCATTTATAACATATGTGTAAAAATTTTTATAAAATTTTCATTCTCAGAAATTTACTACAGGTTGTAACAAATGTTATTAACGCAAAATTTTTTTACTAAATGTTGCGAAAATCTCCAAGAATACGCTTTATATACTCCCTAGGAAATCAAAATAATTGTAAAGTTAAAAGCATCCTAGTGATTTACAGAAATGAAATTGAAACAAAATGTTCAATTTTTAGTTTCAAAAGTTTTAGATTAGTTTTTCAAGGATACTTCTAATAAATAATAAATCCCATAAATTAATAAAATTTATTTGAGAAATTTGATTGGTTAGCTATTTATGATCCCTCAATAACTTTATCAAAACCAAACAAAGTTTTATATGATATAATTAGCAATATTTTGTTTTTTGCTGCAAATACTCATCATATACGGTCTGAATCTTTAACTGACAGAACCATCCTTAATTTCTCCTACTAAGATGAAGACTCAAAAGACACTTTGTCCAATGTATAATAAATACTCCCGGTTGATAAAATAAAACATGCTCGTACTTTCGGGCTCAAAAGTTTTGAAATTAGTGTTTTCTCTTTTCAAAAGCAGCCTTTTAGTATTTAGTAATAATTCACAAAATGCAGTCTTTTTTAAAAAATCTCTCAAAGGGTCAGCAATAACAAATATAATATTGTCGGAAACTTTTACAGTAAAAAATTTTCAAAGCAAAAAAAAGAATAATGTTCGATTAATTCATAAATAATTTCTTATTGAGAACATTTAATTTTAAGCACTTTTAAAAAAAAAATTAAAACAAAGTGTTTATTAGTTTCATTTTATCCGTCCTTCCTGTTTACAAAATGTCAAAACCCTTCGAGATATAAAATTTAAATTCGAGCTTTCTTTACATATCTTTACAAGAAATTTATTTCCGTGAAAGAAAATTTTTGTCTATTTCCTCCTTCTCCTCCTACAAATGCCATTTTTTCGCTATCTATTGCAACGAAATCATTAATATTTTTTAAATTTTCCAAACGCTGAAAAATAGTGGTTGCTTTCTTCTTCCGCAGCATAGCATAGTTGTCCATAGAAATGACAAAATTGCCGTAATCTAACATTAGTTATTTTTAAAGTTTTTTATATCTTCTATCTAGTTTTATTTTCTTCTAGACTACACGATATCAAAAATTTCAAAAAAGATTTCTTACAGATATTTGAATTTCCAAGATCTTTTTGAAACTAATAAATAGTTTATTTCGTTAGCAGAATTTTTTAAGGACTAAAGTTATCCGCTCCCGAAATTTGTAGAATTTGAATTTTCGGCTCTTTATATTGCGGAAAATGCACACTTATTCGAATTTCTACAAATGTAGAAAGCTAATGGTAATTATTAATCTTAACTCACGCAATTAACCCTCGCATTCGACCATTTGCTAACGCATCTTAAAATTTTCGTATCATCCTAAATGTATGCAATCATTTAAATTATTTTGGAATATGAGCAATTTAGAAGCAATTTAAGTAATAGTTTTTCAAAGATGCATTAGTTGAAGGAAAATTGTTACTTTAAAAACCATTGTTTTGACCCTGCTTAATTTTTATGCATGAGACTACGAAAACGTGTAGTTAAAATAAAGGAATTTTTAAAAGAGATTTCGAAATATATACATATATTAGGTTCATAATGTAAACTCCAATTGCATGTAAATACATACTGGAGTTCATACAAAACAATCTAATATATATTGGATTTAATCTATAGTAAAACGCTGTAAAGGAACATTATGTATTTATAAATACCTTTTAATAAATAATGACCCGGAGTAAAAGTAGATATTAATAAGGAAGACCCTTATTCTGGGTTTCCATATCACGTTTAATAATGCGCCTGGCTTACACAGGTACAGAATTACACTCAAAATTTCAAAAACTAAAAAAATCAGCCGGAATTGACTTTAAGCTCCTGTAACTTCGAACCTGTATAGAGCTGAGAAGTTTGGCCTACTCTTAAAGGCCTATACAATGATATATAGCAGTGCACTTTGATATGAGACACTCTGTATTTACGAATACATAAGTATTCATTTAAATTCTGGGATTTATGAAATCTAGTAAATACTTATGCACCTATGCATGTTTCCAACATATACTTTTTCCCTATAACTCAACTTAATTTCTATAATATATACTTGCATTATGTAGTATGTTCCTACATATATATATGTATCTAACAATAATAATATACTATGTATGTATATAAAAAACTCATATCCTTTAAATGAAAAAATAAACCATGTTCTAACACTTTTAATGTTTTCTATCCATGTTTTTAAAATAGAAAAATGACTAAAGAAATTATTTATTTGTCAATCATCCTATTCACAGCATGTAATTATGTTGATAAATAATGTTGTATGCGTATGTATACAATACAATTGTAATGAAACTCTAGATTTTTGTTTATTTAAAATTCTTGGCTTTACTACGTTGATAAAAAAAATTCTTCTATTCTACTATACTATTTTCCATTTCTACTACGAGTACAACTAAACCGAATACACATTGAGTAACATTGGTAATACTGAATAAGCACGTGTATTTTGTTTTGTTTTCAATTAAAATCAAAATAATATGTTTGCTGTTTTCTCTTTCGTAATATTTTTTTCTCTTTCACGCTCTTCAACATTAATTAAACAATGTGAATTGTTTAAATTGCTGACAAAATTCCCGTATGATATTAAGTTACTGAATCAGCTGAATATGATTTTTAGCGAAAAAAAAAATTATATATTTGAAATTTGTACGTCATAACTATATTCACAATAATATTGCTATTCACAATAAAAACTTTTGAAAAATTAGAATTTTTAACATAAGGTGTCATTCGAATAATAAATGAGTTATGTATAATTTAAATACGTTAAATGTAAGTTAAAAAATTAAATTTCCATAAGAAAAATATTTTTAGAAAATTTTATAAAAGGTGAAACCGATTGGAAATTGCGGAATTTAAATATTCAACCAATATAAAGCAATCAAAATGCAAGAAAATATTTAGAAAATAGTAAAATTCAAAAAAAAAATATTATAGTAAAAAGTAATTTTGTATATTATAAATATGTATGTATTACTGTAAATAACTTTTAAATTCACAATTTCAGTTAAAAATAGTATAAAAAACGAACTATTGTAACAAGTTTATTTTCACAATACAAATTTGTACTTTATCCATGCTACATGATTTTGACATTTAGCACACAATGAAATTCGTTTATTTACAATAGTAAAGCACTACAGCTGTAGATTTCAATTTCATGTAAAATATGCAGTGTTGTCGACTTATTTTAAATGGAGTATTTCGTGGAATTTTAATATTTGGTATTTTTCATCGTTTTAATAATGTTATTTTTTATGGTATTTATAATTTTAAATCAGTTGGTCATTGTTTACAGTACATATGTATGTTTCATATATGTCTACTAAAAATTTTTAATAATTTCAAAAATCTAAATAATTAAATACTTTATAATTCAAATATTTTAAACAAGAAAAAGAATTTTGTTTAATAGAATTTTAAAAGCTGTCTTAACATGATTTAAATATCGTTCGATTTCCGTAAATTTTCCTTAAAAGTATTTTCGAGTTAATTTCCTTTTCTCTCATTATTGTCAACATAAAAAATATTTATCGAAGAAATTACTTAACAAATTCCTTAATAAATATTTTTTAATGCAAAACAATTCAACAATATTGTAAAACTTTTGAAAGAGGCAGAAATTTTTTTCTATTTTATACTAATGATATTTTTAAAACGGCAACGCTCTTAATGAATTTTTTACATAATGTAGCATAATATTGCCACTCCAATTTTGAATCAAAATATTTTAAATGTGTAAGTGAATTCTTATTTGTATTCTTATATGAAAAAAATAATATTCGATATGGTGGTATTGTGAACAGTGACGTTATGTTAGATATCAACAAAAGCCAGCTGACATTTAATTCATTTCAGTTTGATAGTTAAGTTTGTGCCGTAAAGATATGAAATGACGGTAGAACTAAAATGTGAAAAAATTTAATCAATAGTGGAAAAAAAAAATAAAATTTAAAATAAAACGAGTTTATTAAAAAGTAAAAAAAAAACAAAATTGATATTTTACGATTATTAGTTTTTATATAATAGACGCACCATATTTGTGTTATAATACAAGTAATAAATCTTTGTATTAACACCAATAATTTATTGCTATAAAAGTGATAGTTATTGATTTGATTGAATAGTTTGTGAAAAATAAATAAATAAAATATAATTATGTGGTGTGGAAATGTGCATAATGTTGGCTATAATTTTTTATAATAATTAAAAATTTTCTCGTATAATTTGTTAATTGTATTTTCATTTAAATCATGAAAGAAAATCATTTTAATTTTAATGAAATTTAGTTGCTTTAAATACTTATAGTGATTTTTAAATATTTTAAATAATTCTATTTAATCACGAAATTTTAATATTTTTTTATTCATTTTATATTTTCTCTTAATTATAGTTTATCAGCTCCATAAAATTGTGTCCATAATTTCATCAACCAAAATAAAATAAAAAAATCGATTTGTTTATTGAAAAAGCGCAAAATTTTTTGTTTCTTAATGTGATTATTACGCTAAGAAAAAAATGTTTTCAGTCATACTGATAGAAATTAATGTTAAAAATTAAATATTTAAATTTGTATGAAAAAGAAGAGTAGATATCCGAAATCAATATTTTACTTAAGTATATATTGAATTTCTTCGTTAGGCTTTCGTGATTTTAATAAATAATAACATTAATTTATTAAATGGCATGAAATGTTTTTTTTTATATTCATAAAGCAAACCATATTTAATAAGTCAATTAAGTGTTGATCTCAAATTATTTGTAATTGAAAAAGAAATTAAAATAAATTACTAAATTATATTTACTTAGTGCAAGAGAAAAAAAAAGTATTTTTTTTTTAATTAATACCTACCACATTCTAAAAATGATGGTGAAAATCAATAATAATAAACAAAATAAAAAGAAAAATATGTTTTC